ACTGCTGCATTTGGGGTATTGCAGATTTATTCTGAGGCAAAGAAATGTTCCACCATCGGTGTGGAGCCACAGAAATGGAAATCATGCTTTCCAGCCTTTATTACTTCAGATATTGTCTCGATTAGTTGCTTTGCTCTTTCCTCCTTGAATTCCTTTAGGAATGCTAGGAGATACAGTCCAGTCCTCCTGACCATTCCTGAACCTCTTCTGAGGATACTTTGATTTAGGGTAGATCCTGTTGTAATACATAGAGTGCATCATACAGCTGTGAGTCTTGATCATGACTGGAGTTTCTTGGCGCAGTGCTGGGCATCTGTAATGGGATTCCAGCAGCAAACCCTAAGGTCCCACTCCAGGGTAATGATCTGCGAAGGAACCAGTTAAAACAAATGCCTGTTTCAGTTGGGATCTAGAGAGGCTTGCAAACATGCCAGACCTCCATAATGGATCTCTGGAGGGAGAACAGTACCTGGAGGAGCTCCAAGTCCCACCTTCTTCATGCACATCACTAAAGAATAGCTCCCTCCTGTGCCCACTGTGCTTTTGCTCGCAGGCCCCATGCTGTGCTGGGGACAGTGCTGGGTCACAGCAAGCTGTTTCTCTGCAGAGAGATGGATTGACTTTTTAGACATGGTATCTACTGGGTATATTGGGAAAAACTGCCCTCTTTTGCATTTCTTAGTGAGTTTTTCAGCAAGTAGATTTTTTTTTTCCACTCTTACAATGATTGTAACAGGATTTTATTCTCCTGCAGCCAGCTGTTAGCAATTAGCAACTTGATCCATTCAGTCCTGAGAACAGAGTTTAACACTTTCTTGCCTCTGTGAGGATGTTGCTAATCCTGTTTTTGCTGGTTTTGGGCTTGTGCTGTAGTTTTGGCACTTTCTGTGTATGTGTGGGCAGGTCAGGAAGAAGGGTGTGAGTACAGCAAGGGACTTAATGCAACTGAAAGAGCTACAAAGAAAAGTTACCAAGTTGTCTACCCAGAAAAAAACATTAAGATGATGATTTCCAAGCAGTTTGTGCAGAGGCTTCTATCTAGTAGTATGTTCCAGTGTGTTCTAGCACTGGGAAGTGTTGAGTTTGGAAATCCAATCTACTACTAGCTGAGATTTAGACTCAGCAGAAATCAACATCAGTAGTTCTTCAAACAGTGATTTCCAGTAGTACAAGCTCCTGAGCAGAGCTGAGGCTCCTCTAGATTGAGATGAGTGAAAAACACTCATGGTGACCTTGCTCAAGGGAATAACAGCTGCTGCAGAGTACTAGATGAGAAATGACACTATTTGCTCCCTGTGTGCAGCCCTTCTCTTGGGAGTCACAAACATGCACTTTGGTGGTCTAGGACCAGGAACCAAGCGGGGTAGGAGGAACAAGCCCAGCACAGTCTGAACCCAGCTTCTGGGGTCCCTGTATAGGGCTGAACTGCTGTAAATATTTATCCACTCTCACATACAGAGGTGAGATTTGTGTTGCCAAGCTGTGGCTACATGGAACTGATGCTAGTCCAGACCAGTCATTTAGGTTCCCTCTGTCATCAGCGAAGATAGACACGTTTTGAGAGGCTTCATCCGGCTCATCACGGATGCTATTTAGGCAAGGGCCAAATTGAAAGCCAGTTTTTGTCAGCATAGAGCTGCAGCCAGGCGAGCTCTAGAGCCAGCACTGAAGGTTTCCTTGTCTTTCTTGCAGGTCAGGCTGGTCTCTGGTCACATTTTCCAGTTTTGGCTTGCAGTTCCCACAAGCTGCACCACTGCTGCTTGACCTGCTGAGCTCCACATGCCCATCAAGCCCTGAGAAGCCCTGGGTTCACAGGGTGCTGGCTGCAGCAGGGTGTTACCCCAGCCCATGGCTTTCCTCCAGTGCTGGTTGCTGGCTCAGTGGCAGGAGCTGATGTGGTACTTGGGGCATTTCTGTGTGATTCTCCATGTCCCCACCTCATTCCCTCTTCCCTCCTGTTATCTTTTACATTCTGATCGCTGTATTCAAGCAGTTAGGTGATGTGACTGGCTGTGTGGCAATACAATCGGTGTGATTTAGAACATGGTGTGAGCTTTGTATAAAGCAAATAGGTACTTAAATTATGGTATTTGGTCTGTACCTGGTTGAATGAGATAATGTTGCTCTTTGTGTTACACATCACATTATTATATTGCTGTGACATTGGTGTCTGTTGTCATAACTTGCATGTCATTTTGAGAGCATGATAAACTTACCACAACTACCCATGTCAAAAGACAAAGTCCTTACACTTAAGACTCAGCTTAGTGCTTTTCACTCAGGGCAGTTGCTGATCTAAGCTGGCCTGTGAGCTCTGTGCTGATGGCAGAGGATGGGTGCTCCTTCATCCCAGTGCTCTGCTGCAGGTGTCTGCCTCGCTGCTGTTGATCCTTCTTTGCTGGGCTTTTGGATCAAATGGGAAGCCAGAGCATTTGAACACTTAGTGATGTCTAGGGTTGCTCTCATGTTTTTTTTTTTTTTTTTCCGCTTCAGTAGCGGGCTCTGGTCCTCACCTAGCCATGTATGATTGCACTTTCAGTACTCTCTGGCCACCCTTTCCCTTAACCCTGGCCAAGTTAGAGGGAAATCTGAGTGTGTGTTTTGGTGGGAGCTAGCCTGTGCTTTTACAGATGCCTGATCCTCCCTCCCTGTTTGCCAGGCTCTGTACTAGGCCCTGCCGGGGTGACAAGGGTGTGGACTGTATGTGTGCTTGCCCTTTGCCATCTGAGGCCTCCAGTACAGCTGGCAGCTTTTAAACCTCCAGCTGAGAAGCCACCTGGGAGATGTCTCCAAGCTGCTGTTCTCCTGCCAGGGTCTCCTCAGCAACTTGCAGCTCTGTTCAGTGGCTGGTCCGGCATGGGAACCCAAGGCAAGGATCTTCTCCAGCCCAGGTTACACCCACATAGCCCAGCTGATCTGGGCAGACACCTGGGTCATGGTCAGGGCACTCCATATACCACCAAACAGCTCTCTGTTCCCATTACCTCCTCCAGGAATGTGGTTAAAGTTAAAGCCTTGATGTGCGTGGCACTTTCTCATGTCCTGTGGGAGGACAGTCTCCTCTTGTACTGGACCCTCTGCAGTTCCCCTTGTCAGTCCTGCTTTGGGAGCCTCCAGGGCACCCTAACAAATCACCTGTATAGATTAACATCCACCAGGCCTGTTTTCAGATTCTGCTGCAAAAATGTCTTTACAAAATGTCCTTCTGCATGGCTGCAAGAATTCTCTGCACCATGGTACTTGCAGTCTATCATGGGATGGTGGGAATTGGTATGTTTGTATCTGAGATCACTCACACACACACCCCCCCCCCATTTCAGGGGTGAAAGACAACCTTGGATACACACATAGCTTGAGAGTGCTTGGGCAAAACCTCTGATTGCCAGACCCTCCTGCTGAGATATGGGCTGCCTTTTCTCTCCAGTGCTTTGTGTTTGCGTACGCAGTGCCTGAGGTGCCACAAAATCACAGAACCTTGCGGTCTCCTTCCTCCCAGCCTTGGTTGAGGTGCTCACATGGGGCACAAGAAGTGACTGAAGCAGGGAAGGGTTCTGGTAATTTTAAGGTCTTTTTTGTTTTGCTTGCATTGTTGCATGGCTGGGCACAGCACAGCTGGGCACCATCCACTCATCATTAGTTTCCCCTCCTGCATGTGTATTTGGCTCTTTTCCCAAGAAGGCACTTAGTTGTTTTTCAGGCTCAGAGCCATCTGTTCTGATGGAATCCGGCAGGGACAATGGCCAGTAGCAAATCTTTAGGAAAGAGAATAAAAACAGGGCAAGCCTCAGTGATTCTAACCCCGATTTAGCTTCTGGGTGTCTAGCAATCTGTGGCTGGGGGATTTCCTGAGCCAAAGGTTTTACCTTCAGATTTAAGAAGCCATGGTGTATCTTTCTGCTGTGAATGTAGTCAGTTGTTTTGGTATCCATGGCAACTCACGGCTGTGACTTGTACAATTTAATTATGTTGGGTGGAAAAAAATACAGCCTTTTGTTACAGATCTCTGAGATAATGGCATCTGATGCTCTTCTACGCATGTGCGCATTGGCATAGTGATCGTCCCTTTTTTATCTTCTCTTCCTTTACTAACAAATCCTAACGTTCAATTTTGCCTTTATTACTACAACTCTGAGGATTCTTGAGCAAACACCCTCTGGTCCTGGCAACTTGTCATTTACTGATTTGTTCTGTTTTCTTTTCCTCTGACATTTTGATATGAGACAGAGCCTCTAACCTGCTTTCTGTAAAGCTATCTTCCAGGATGGGAACCTCCCAAGGCTCTTTGTAGGACACAAAGAATTCACATAACTGCTGATATGACCTTGTGTCCCTTTAGGTGTTATCATGGCTTTCCACTGAAATTGCCAATGTTTAAGCCCTTTGCTATTTTCCTTGTTTCCAAACAGGAAATTAAGTGTGCTTGCATGTGAGTGCACATGGTCTTTTGGCAGAAATGTGGACATGTCGGTAGAGATTATTTTCACCCTGTTTTAGACACTTATCTTAAGGTTGCGTGACAAGTTACAGAGTGCCCCCTTGGCTACTTGGAGTAAGCAGCTCATGCAGAGAGAGGTGTGTGTTGGGTGGATAAGCCCCACTTGGGGAGTCTGCTTGGACTGTCCAGCTGTAGGCACAGCTTCAGTACTTGTTAATATAATAAGGAAAATGAAGAATCAGTGGGGGGAGAGATTACTTTGCAGTGGACTTGTTTAAGAGCAGTTAAGAGAGTATGTCCGCACAGTAGTCATGGTAGCTGAGCTCCTAAAAGCTGAATTTCATTAATAGCTGTAGAGATGGTATGGGTAGTCAGGCAATCATTAGTTCTTCACTAAGCCTCTGATCAGGGGAATGGGTCAGAGTAGGGCTGAGGTAAAGACACTCTTGAAGGCATGGAAGATTGCCTAACCCATCACAAAGCAATGACAGTATAGCAAGTCTGCAGCACCGAGAAGTCCTGTCTTTGGGGGACTCTCATGTTCTCTCTTTGCTTTGTCTTTCAGAAATGTAGATGGCAGCCACTGTCTTTGAAGGACTCGCACCCATCTGACCCTGCGCAGCACCTCCGACTGCTACCATGATCTTCTGCATGCTGCTGTTGGCCTCACTGCCTGAGCCATCTGGCACCGAAGTCAACCCTGGTAGGGAGCTGCCAGGCTGGGAGAGGAATCTGGTTGCCCAACTTTCATATGCTTGTTCTCAGCCTTTCTTTGACTCTCATGGTGAATGCATATGAATGTACATAAATATAATCACTAATGTAGTTCCTGAATGCCTTCCTCTGCGCTGAGATGGTCAGTCTTCCTTGAAAGGTGTGCTGGGGTGGGATACCTCTCCTGACAGTCCCAGAAGGGCTCAGGCACATGGATATACTCCTTTCTCTGCCCACTCAGAAGGTCTGTGCTTTCAGCAGGTCTGTTTTGAGCTCTGATTATTCCTTCATCACTTTGACCATGTGGCCTGCAGAACAAACCTGGGTCTAGACTGGCTCAGAGATACTGTGCTCACTCTGGAAAGCAAATTACTAGTCAGCAAAGAATAAGCCACAGCTCTCCAGCCAGCAAGAGGGGTTCTGGAGAGAGAAGTGTGGAAGGAAAGGTAGAAAACTCTACCTGGCCCAAAGCTGGGGTGGAGACAGGGATATGAGCCTATGAGTCCCTGTGGAGGGCATGACGTCTTATCCTACAGGATTTGGCAAGTTATAATCATGATGGAGATGAGTGAGATAATGGTCTGCAATATATTGCAAAAGTCCCCATAGCGAGATGGTTTGTGCTGGAGACAGTCTGTGAAATAAATGAGACTAATCCTTTTCCAGCTTGGCTGAAGGTGTGGTGAAGCAGCCTGAGGGCCTTCGTTTGCTCTGCTGGGTCTGGCTCTGGAGCCATTTGGCTGGGTCTGGCTCTGACCCTGCACTGGCCTGTGGGTCTTTTCAGAGGTTTGAGGTGGTGCTGCAGCCAGCCTGGGGTGAAGCGAGGCCCGTGGGGAAGCTCAGCAGGCACTCTTGGGCCCCCTTGTTACTCAGCTGTTCTCTGCACTGCGTGTCCCCTACACGTCCAACTTTGAGCTGGGGTTGCCATCTGGTTCAGGATATCAAAACCTAGTGGAAGAAGAGGGAAGACAGTGGATAGAGGGTCAGTCACCCAGATTCCTTTTGGTGGTGGTGGTAAGCACAGAGGTTAGCACACTCAAAGGAGCAGGAATAGCTCCCTGGTCACCAGATCCGGGGAGGTGGGCTGGGCTCTGAGCACAGGGCCGTGGTCCCACCCTCCTGCAGTAGTCTTTTCCACCAAGAAGTAAGCATGTAGCTTTGCTCATGCTTCTCAGTTCTGCCTGTGACTTCCTCAAGCAGTTTTCGTTCCCAGGTCCCACAGCTCAGCTGTCTCTCTGTCCCAGGGGTCTGTGCCCTGTTGTTCCCACCCAGACTCTAGCACACCCATAGCCCAGCTGATGCTCCTTGGCAGCAATGCCCACGGGCTCAATGGATTATCTTGACCTCCTGATCTGTTCCAGGAGTGGTCTGAAGCACCTTCTGCATTGCCTTCTAAACCAAAGGGGCTGATTTATGGATGATTTCAGACCTATGTCAGAAGGATCCTGTGGAGTCCTGCCTGGCATCAGTTGTTTGACCTCACTAACAGAGATGAGCTGTGACATTTTTTTCAGCCTCAATGTATCCTGTCTGCCTGGCAGGTGAGTGTGTCCCCTGAATGCGTAGTAAAGGGTCAGAGATATCTAAGGAGGAGTCCTGGTGGCATCAAAACAGAACCCAAGGATGGCTTTGCTTGAAAAGATGTGCATTTTGGTGAGAGCCTCATGCTGCTTGTTTTGGTGAAAGCAACAGCCACCCAGAGTGCATCCCTTGGTGCCAGGGACACTCTGGTGTCTATCTGCCAGCCCTGGTTTTGTGAATAAATGAGTTTTGTTAAGGTCTGCAGTAAGTCCTGGTCCCCTAGAGTCCTTCCCAACCAGCTAGCTCACCATCTGGGATTGCTGTAGAGTTTGCACTTGACCTTTAAATAAGGTGTGACCAGACAGGACTCCACTGCAGAAACACTTGTTGCTTTCAGATGATGACCCCACCCTGTTGGAAAATCTTCAGATATTGCAGTGTTTTTATTCTCTTTCCAGCAATAATCAGAATGTACTGGTCTGTGGTGGGACAGGTAAGAGTGAAGACTAGTTGAGGCTAGTTTAGATTACTAAGCTTGTTCAGAATCAGAGCAGGATTAGATCTCGTGGTTGGCTTTCAGCAGCCACAATCATCATGCTTGATCCTAGCCAGACACCAGTTGCCTCCTGGTGAATTCTTCTGTAAACAGGCCTCTTAAGAAACCTCAGATGTATGAATGAATGTTCAGGGTGAGATCTGAGGCCCATCCAGCTTGGTGTGGTGGCTCCAGCAGGGTCCCATCCTTGTTGGTTCTGGAAGAATGCACAGATGGACAGGCACCCAGCAGTGCTTTACCCCAGGTATGCTCTCAGCTCGCTGCAGTCTGCTGCTCAGGAGCTTTCTGAGCTAGCACTTGTGTATTTGCTTGTGGTAGCTGTGAGTTGTCTATCTGATTTTTGAATCCATGTGAACCTTTGGCATGTAGAGTGTTTAATAGATTAAGGATGCATATATTGTTTTTGAACTCAGCTACCTGATCTTTTGATGCCTCCTGGTTCTTGTATTTTGAGAGATAGTGAGTAATTGTTCAGGATATAAATCTATCATACTTCAGTAATCTCTTTTGTAACGAGGCTGTTACTGTCCTTTTGCATAATCTGTGTTGCCTTCTCTGCCTTCTGATGGGATAAAGAGCTCTATTCCATATCTGACTGGTGTCTGACCATTAATACACACAGTGGTGTAATGGTGCTTTCTAGTTTGTTTTGTATGTTTCCATAACTGCTTTTTTCTGGTATCATCAGCAAACACTGTCACCTCACCACTCATCTCCTTTACAAGATTATTTAGGAATACAGAACATCACATATTCATTTGATACTGTACTTGAGAACATCTGCAGCCAAACCCTATTGAAACAACTTCGATTTGCAAATGGTGCTACATTGAAAGCTGCAGGCAGTTATTCGGCCTGAGGTGGTTTATTCTCTGTGGTGGTAACAAGGTGGGTTTCACGCCTCTGTCTTTTCTTGTAGTTTCTGAACCTGGCAAACAGCTTTATTCAGGTTTGGTACAGGGGTGACAGTCCTGAGATACAGAAATGAGGAAGACAGGGAAGGCATGGCCCTCGCTGAGGGAAAGGCAGGCAGACCTGCTGGTACGGCAGCATGGTGGTGAGGATGCCAGCCGGGACGCGCGACACTGGGGGGACTGGAGCATGTGCTGGCACTTGCCTGTGTCACTGCGGGCAGGGGAGGAGCTGGGGCTCTTATGGCGGGGAGTCTGGGAGCTCAGAACACAGACCAAAAATCTATAGGGAAGTCCACTTCCTTTTTTTCTGGGACTTACCATTGACCATGTTTTTTGTCTTTTAATTGTTTAATGATTTAATCCCATATAACTTTCTTTTTAATCTGCTGTTGATGTCAGTCTGACAAAAATATCTTGCCTGTTTTGAGTACTTAGTCTTAATGAACATGTTAAGATTTTGAGTTTTCTGAAACATCTCTAATATTCCAAAACATGTTTAAAACTTGTCAGGGGAGAAAGCTTGTCCAGCTTGGATTTGTAAGATATACCTGCACTGTCTTTGGTGCATTGAGTTGTATTGAGCTTGCAGAGCTCTGTGGCTTGAGCCAGTTGTGTCTGTAGTCCCTGGAGGCACCAAGTTTGAGAGTCTTCTTGTGCCTGGAGGGAGATGCTTGCTCTGCTTGAGGCTGTAGGCAGGGAACAGACCAGGATGGGGCAGTGTGGCTGGGCAGGGGCTTGTGCTCAAATATAAGCTCTAACCTGCAGTGACAGAGCAGATGTTTCATAAACTAGTCTAGTCACCTGTCATAGAAGCTGTTTAACTTCTTGCCACTGGACTGGTGAAAATAAGTTGTTCCTGTTTGAATGGAAGTCAAGCATTCATTTTATTCCAGAAGAAAAATCATCTAACAAATTCTTCCTTTTTATGTAGCATCATTGTTGATAAATATTTTTTCATTGTAAAATAGATCCATGCAACCAGTAACACTAGTATGGTTTTGGATTTCATGTTCTTAAAATGTTTCTTTAAAAGGTTTTTTTGACTCGTCAGGACTCTGATACTGAGTGTATTTCATTACTTGCATTTTCAGTTTATGGTAATTATGAAGTACTTCATCCTTTTTATTTGCATTCTCTATTTTATCATTACTTTGTTTATTCCCTATGCATGATAGCCTTTTAATTAAAACTTACCTGGTGTTTTAGAAAGAATTGGTACTGATATTTCCTTTTTTTTTTACTTGTTTGTTTCCATTTTCAGCCATATGCCGTTACCCTTTGGGTATGCATGAAGGGACGATACGAGATGAAGACATCACTGCTTCCAGCCAGTGGTACGATTCCACAGGACCCCAGTATGCACGGTAGGTTCATCTCTGGCAAAAAATATAATCCTTTTTTCTTCTAGATATCCAGTATGTGATTAAGGAGTAAGTTCCTTCACCCTTGAAGAAACCTGTTTACTTAGCTTGTTCACTGCTTCTGTATTAAATCTAACTAGTGCATAGTGAAAGATCAAGAGAACAGTGGTCATGATCACAAGCTGTAATACAGGAAATTCTGATTCCATATTAAGAAAAAAAAATATCCTTCCCCATGAGAATGAAGTGGTGGGACAGGTACCCAGAGAGGTGCTGACATCTCAGTGTTTGGAGGCTTTCAGGACTTGGCTGTACAAGGCCTTGAGCAACACATTGTCACTTTAGAGTTAGCCCTGCTGTGAGCAGGAGGTTGGACTAGAGACTTCCAGAGGTTGCTTCCAACCCTCATCTTCCTGTAGTTCTGTGAATAAATCTCTAATGGATTTGTGACTTACAGGTCCGCCAGGTACAGTGCCCCTGGGATTCTTGTAGAGTGCTTTAAAATAAATCGTAGGAAATCATTTATGAGGATGAGATTTTCAACAGCATCTTATTGAGGAAATGGGCTGTGTCCACTTTGACTCAAAATACTGGAAATAGCAGAGTTAAGGAGTTGTTAAAAAGCAGCTAAAGGATTTTCTTTCAATGTGAAACAGTAGTTCTACAGTCTTTTTCATAAGGTTGACTTCTCTTTTTTGTCATTTCACTCAAAACTCCTAACTGATGATTCACAAAATACTTACAAACGTAAGTTCCCTTAGAATTGTTTATAATGATGATATCAAACAGTCCTACAGTTTTGGTGCAAGTCAGATATGAATTTCAGGTTAACTGTTACATATATGTTTATGATGGATTTGGGCAGTCCAAAATCATAATGCTCCTACTGCTCGATTTTTTTTTTAAAAAATTTCAGTCTGTGGTAGAGCAAAGATGCTGAGTGTCATGTGTTTTAATGGAGTTTGAACAAGCCTGTGGATCTGAAAGCTGGGAGACTTTGTTCTCCAAGGTATGGCTTATCTCTAGTTCTGCAAATATTTCAGGCATCACTTACCATCTGTTACCATCATCCCTTTGCTAGGGCAGCTGGATGTCCACAGGGTGAAGACACAAAGGCACCCTCTAGCTGATTGCATTTGGTTAGAGGTCATAATTGTCCTATGCAGATTTCTGTCCCTCTTCTTTCTGTCACCCTTCCTGCCTTTCTAATAACTTCTTTTGCTTACTACTTCGCTGTAAGAATGTCTTACACAAACAGGTGACCAACCTGAGACAAAAATCTGTAGCCTGTGCCTTGACCTTCACTGTTGTCTTGTGGGTGCTGCCTTCCTTGATGAACAGAGTTTGGCACTCACTGATCCCATCAATTAGAGACAGGATAGCTATCTGACAGACGAGAGCACTTCAAGGGCTTGCTGCTTGCTAAGAAGTCCCTGTTGCTAAAAGGTCCACGTGGTCTTTTTGTGTCTGGATAAATTTTTCACGTTTAAAGCTCACTACCCTGTGGCTAGCCGAGCTGAGGCTCAGAAGCCTAGGTAAGGCAGTGCTTCCTTGAGTGGCTCCACCTGCTGATATCTGTAGCACTCTGCTGGGCATGCAATCTCTGAGGATAAAAGCCTTAACCTTTGCAGCTGGTGCCACAATGTTCAACTTTGGAGCAGAGATCTTCATATTGTACACCCAGCAGTGTCTGCACAAGCAACTCTGAATTAAGGAAATGTGAAAGGTGTGTTAAGATGACCCAGAATAATTTGTAGGTGAGCAGAGCTTTTCTTTCTAAAATGTATTTTTAAGATAGCTCCTCTTTGTGCTTCTTAGAGCTGTAGGAGGTGGTCAGGCAGAGGCTCAGAAATTAGTGTATGGGGTTTAGAAGTGAGTATGCACTATACCAGCAAGGTGCTAAAAAGCCTGTAGTATGCAATTACCTACTGAGTAGCATAGTTGTTTCTGATCAACATGAAAGTATGTTGACTGGGAAAGAAGTTACTTCTAACAGTTAATGAAAGTTATCTGAAACTGAGGGAGTTGTTCAGAACAGGGCAAAACTGGCTACAGGACTTAAGACTCAGTTGACCATCACCCTGAGAGGGAGAGGTATTTGGTAGTCTGCTATCAGGTCTCACTTGCTGATTTTGTTTCTTTCTCACAATTCTCAATTTCAAGGTGTTTCCTCAGTTGCTGGGAAGGTTGGATGCTTGGAAGTGACATTTTTTAATGTGTGTGGTTTTCCCATCAGGCTACAAAGGGAAGAGGGGGATGGAGCCTGGTGTCCGGCTGGCTTGTTGCAACCCGAAGATGTACAGTTCCTTCAAATTGACCTGCACAAGCTCTTTTTCATCACCTTGATTGGGACTCAGGGACGGCATGCCCGTGCCACAGGCAAAGAATTTGCTCGTGCTTACCGACTTGACTATAGCCGCAATGGAGAGCGCTGGATCTCCTGGAAAGATCGTCAGGGCAGGAAGGTGAGTGTAGTAGGAATAGAATCATAGAGCAGACCACAAGTCAAGTCATAGAGAACTAGACTGTAAAAGGTACGTCCTCTACGTACTGCCTAGTGCATCGTACTTTATCCTGACTCTTCCCTTTCAGGCACTCGGCATCCTCTGCCTTAGTCCTGTGTTTGCTGTGATCTTGGACTATTATTCCCCTGACCTGATCCCCCAAATCTCAGCCATTGCCATGATTGAAAACTCTGGCTCTTCACTACCTTTCTGTACATGGTCAAAACATGTCCCTCTGCCAGCCAGACACTTACTTCTAAATTGGAAGTTGCAAAGCAGATGCCTGCTTTGTGATTAAAAAAAAGGGAGGGGGTGGCAGGGAATGAAGATGAGCTTCTGGATGTCTGATAGCATTGTGCAGTGTTGGAGCATTGAGGAGGAAGGAGTTTAGAGGGTAGGAAATGTGCTGAGTACACATGCTCAAAGAGGCTTCCCAGCTCACCACAGCTATCTCCTGCTATCTTCAGACTTGAGCATGCAGCTCAGTACTGGATGGGCTTTGTTCACAAGCCTTTGTTAAACTTCCCCTCGGAAGGAGTCCCCTTCTCTCATCTGCAGCTCATCTGACCTGATCACCCTGCCTCAGCCTGGCTTGTGGAGTCTGAAGACCTAAGCCAGATTAGAAGGGTACTGGGTGTGGTGGTGTTCTCTTGCTTTGGAAGTCGCAGTGCGGTCTGTATTGCAGTATTAGGTAATAGCTTCTAGCTTATGAACGAATGATTTGCTCACTCAGAGCTTTGATCAGCTATTTGGCCGTTACTATTATTTTGCCCATCCCTTACATTCTGGTGTGTGCTACAAACACTATTTGCAGGATGGGAGGAGAAGTTTAAACTCCATGGACCTAACTGTTCATTATCAGTATTTTCTTAGGTGAAGTCTGTCTGCATCTTGAGCTACACCAGAATTCAATTGGTTACACTGTCCACAAGCAGCTAAGTGCTTTTTTGTCTCCCATCCCAGTCCTGTGCAGAGCAGTGCTCTCAGGCACTCAGGACTGTATTAGTGTCAGATGTTATAATTTAGTATGGGTCAGTTTTTGCAAGATCTCCTTTTTAGGCCATAATAAGTATATATTCAGCTGTGTATGATGCTGTAATTTGAGCCATCCTTTATTCTGTTCTGTGTATGTGGAAGTCCACATATATTCTGTCAGTGTGTGTACCTGTTCCCCATCACATGAGACCAAAAAGTTTTCCTTCCTGGTATCCTTAGAGAAGATGCCTCTGTTCCTCTGTTCCTGCAGCTCTGGATATACACAATGGGTGCAATTCCTGCCATTTCAGCTTCTCTGAGAAATGGCTTTCCATAAAACACGTTCTTTGGAATGTGTCACCAGTAAGGGGCATATTCCATTAGTGAGTCCATATTTCAGAAGCACTGCTGTCTGGTCAAATAATTTGGTAAAAATGTTCTGTAAAATCATACAAATCTTGGAATGAAGTGCAAGATCCTAATCTACTTATTTGTATGCATTAGGAAGGCCTCTTCCGGTCCTGCAGTTGACAGATGCCCAATCACTGATATTTCTGAGCGTGACTATGTGAGCCCATCTTGGCATGTCTCTGTCCAAGGGGATCACACAAATGGTTTCAGTCAAACCAATCCCTTCACTGTGCCGCTGAGTTTCAAACATGTAGCGCATGCTGGTCCTCACCAGGGAAGTCATCTCCAGCTTGAATTTGCCCAGTGAAGGCAGAGTCAATTTGCTGTCCCCATGTTTCTGACACCAGCTAAGGACAGTCCTCTCCATTGGCACTAATGTTGCATGGCACAGTGTTGTTAAGTCCTGTTCCCTCATCAGCTTCTGGCGTCAATCACTTGCAGCATTTTGTCAGCAGCTCCACATCATTCTCGATGTTGGGAACATTGGCATCAGTAATGGCTGGGACTGGAAACTGGTGCTGAGTTTGTTCCACACACAGCTGATTCACTTTGGGTTTTTTGTCCCTGACAAACTCAATAGCAGCAACCCCACCTTGTGGAAGTGCTACGCAAAGTGCATCTTCTCTTTTGCCTCTGAGGTCTGTACAGGACAGACAAAACTCAGTTCTTCCACTATGGAGCTTTTTCTGAGGGGGATGGCTGCAGCTTTCTTCCTCTGTCCAGCACTGTGTTTGTCTAGGACTTTTTGGCTTGATGTATCTGTGATCTCAGAGATGCCCTGACAAACAGTCAGCTCCAGAGGATCTGTCCAACTTCTGTGATGATGATGTGGGATAGTCTGCCATGTGCTGTCTCCTCTTAGGTTTTATCTCCTATCAGCAAGGTGTTGTGGAGCCAGCCTAGGTGGCTTCCAGGTCTTCTGTTTTAGGCCTTCTGACAGCTGAAAGGGTTAATTACTGCCACTTTGTTCCAGAAGACAAGGATTACTTATGTGTTCCTACTTTGTTGGAAGAACTCATGTGTGGTTTTCCTAGTAAGAGAGATATTAAGAGGTTTCAGCTCCTCAACAGGCTTTTAATCTGCAGAGGATGAGGAAGTGATCTTACTTTTTGTTGTTCCTTCTGTTTTCTTTGATCAACTCCCGGGACAGCCTTTGTAGAGCTGTCCGACCAGGTGCAGGAAACGTTTACAGCTATCCTGGTGCAGTCCAGTAGACAACCAGATGTAGCTGGCTGTTCAGGGAGATGCAGTCTTCTGAGTGGTTTCCTTTTTGTGATACAATAAGGTCTTTCACTTCTCAATGGACATTCCAGCCACACAATCTGTGGAGATCTTCCCTGCTGCCATGAAGAGGAAAGCCACCTTTCTGCTCCCTTGTTGGCCTCCCTCATCTTTAAATTGCCTATACATCAACAGTTGCAACCGATGTGTTGTTTTGGGGTAACCTCAGCCTCTGATTCATCCTTCCCACCAATAGTATCTTTGAGCAGGAGCCCTCACACTTGTAATTCAGACTTCTGATGTCAAAAGTGTTATTGTTTCCCTAGGTCAATATCCTTTCAAAAAAATATCTTAGGCACTTTGTGTCCTCTGCTGAGGGATTGACAGCTTCAGCTGTTTCCACAGACTGTCAAAGTGGATGGTTCCCAAAACCAAAGTGAAACTGGGGGGAAGGGGAGGCTGAAAGCCCCTGCCAAATCAGGCTGCACTTCATCAGGATGGGGTGACTGTGCTGATCACTTCAGTTCAAGATATCTGCTGTGCAGCTGCTTGCACCTTCAGACCCCAAACACTGCAACACCTCTGGAATTTTGTTGGCTTCTAGAGAAAGGACATCAGGACCCTCCAGGAAACTAGTGATGAGGTCAAGTGCCTAGTTACCTGTTGTTAGAATGTACATGGAGACTCACTTGAAAGAGTTTACGTACTAGTAACTGGAGCTCTCTGCAATGTATGGTTCACACGTACGTTCATCTCCCACCTGTCTTTTTGTGCTCCCTTGGAGTACTGCCTGGTATGGGTCTGCAGTGGACAGGAGGTGAGATGGCAGCACCCCTCGCCCTGTAAGCCATTTGCCAGGTAGGAGGAGGGGAGCAGCAGCATCTAACCTCTGCAGAAACTGCATGGGGAAAGCCACCCCAGTCTCAAATGATAGGATACAAGTACACCACTGAACAAATGAACAGCACGATAGGGAGAAGTTGCTGCTAAGGCGCTCTCTTTCTCCAGGTGATCCAAGGCAACATTGATACTTACGATGTGGTCTTGAAAGATCTTCGGCCTCCCATCATTGCACGTTTTATCCGGGTGATTCCTGTGACGGAGATGCCAATGACTGTCTGTATGAGAGTGGAGCTCTATGGCTGTGTCTGGTATGGTAAGTAGCAATTTCCATGCTTGTCACTGGAAAGTAGTCCTTACACAATGCTGACTGGGACTCACCTGCGTCCCCACGTGTGCAGAGGGAATCCCAGGCCCATGGAACTGCTTCTGTTGGTCCACATCATAAATAAAAGGATCATACGGACAGAGATGATGGAAGGCTGCTGCTGCTGTATTTCTGAGGTATATGGCCTTCTTTTTTAGATGGTTTGGCATCCTATAGCATCCCCGAAGGAGGGACAATAGCGGCTCCTGGCTTCCCCATCGTTTATCTGAATGACTCGACCTATGATGGCTACCAGGAGCGCAGGTGGGAGAAGGCGTCCTGTTCTCTCGGTCACTATGCAAATTATCTCTTCTTTTCTACTTACCCTCTCACTAGTATCTAGTATCCCAAACACTTCGTTGAGACCTCCAGAGCTGCAAGCTAGTCTACTAGTTCTCCAAAGCATCATGGCTTTGTTATTCCAGGCCCTTTGACATGTTGTTAGTTGCTCCTTTAAAGGAGGGCATGGGCTCAGGATGCATAAGACTCATTTCCCCCAGCTGACAAAGGCTGGCAGGAAAGAAATACTTGTTTTGTTAATGGAAGTTGTTGCTGCTTCTCTTTAAAGAGAAGAGTGTGACTTTATACAGCTAAGTGCTGTCTTTGTTCACAGATGCCATCTTTACATGATGTGATGACATAGTCCTGGTGTATCTGATTGCCTTAAAGTCCTCATTGCTCTTGGTCTCTAATTGTGACAATATCCATTGCACTGATTTCTTTGTTAGTTCAGGTATAGCCTTAAGCTGTCATAGTTATTGCAGATCAATAGGTGCTGCTACTCTTCTGTTGCCCCAGATTGGAGTGGGAGAGCTGGCTGGACCTTCTACCTCTGCAGTCCCAGTGTCCCTGGAGCAGATGAAGGTCCTTCCCCTCTTCATTGCCTTTGTTGCTTCTGCAGTTTGATATCTGAAGTGCATTCTCTAGCAGACTGCATCTTAAACTGTTGCAGGAGGTCTCCAGGGTAAACTGGGCATCCGAGAAAGTGCGCAACACCTGAACTCTAGGCCTGCACTTGATACCTGTGAGCTTCTGGACAGATTTGAGATATTGTTTTTGAAAACAAAGCTCTGATGGACTTGAAACAACTTGGAAAACTGCATCACTCCCTATGAGAAGCTCCAGGTCAGCAGAGGCCCCACTGCCAATGTGGTATGAGAGGAAGGTGGCTGATTACTCACTGTAAAGATTTCTTGGGTATGATGCTTTTCCAATTTGGAGTCAAAAAGCCTAAAGTGACTGGATTTTGACAGCTCATTACAAGGTCTGTTAATTTTTCACATCATTGAGGATAGGTAGGGTGGTATGTTACTGACATGTTGAGGTGTGTCTGGCTTACCCAATAGTTGACTCTCATGGAAGGAGAATTCATTAACAGTCTGTATTGAAACTGTCAAATAACTGGCTGAACTTTCAGACATTTAGTGTGGCCACTTTCTTTGCTATAAACAGAGATTTGAGTGTGTTTCAGTGGCTTGAAACCGTAGACAAATCTGGACATTGGTATCCTTTTGAGGCAGCATATCCCTGCCTGTGCAGGAATGTATAAGTGATCTGACAGCATCTCTTTGGTGACCTGGTGATATCTGCTGACTTAAGGTGCTTTTATTATATGTCCTGTTTCAGTTGTCATTAATCTCCTGAAAATTTTTACCATTGCCTACAATTTTTTTATGCTTAGAGATGATTTTTGTGAATTTACTTGTCTTTTATCATGCTGGAGGTTAAAATAATGGTGTGGAAAGTACATTCTTCATGGTTGTAGGATATTGCATGATACTGGGTAACAATGTCTTTATAAGTTATTATCTGATGCTTTTGAGCTGCATTGGTATGGTAGGAATTGGATATTTAAAAATCAAACAAAGTTTTTATGTGCAGAAAGGTGTAGGTGTTGCACTTAGCTGCTCAGCACTAGCTTAGTAAGCTGGGGCTGTTGGGGAGTGTCAGGGAGCTACAGATGTAGGCACAAAACCCAACATGCTAAGCAAGGACTCTTTCAAACTACTTAACCTCTAGGTCATGTGCCTGGCTGGCCAGGAAGCAGGAGTCTACCTCTTCCAGCTGTTAATCCTGTTTTGGAGTTCAAAGGCATGCATACCTGTGCGAATTCCAGTGGCAGGAGGGCTCACCTGGAATGGACTTGCAGAGCCTCAGTGTATGTAGCAGCAGCCCAGCCTGGGTGACAAAGACTGCCTAGAGGCAGCTGAATGAAACCGGTCCAGGGAGCAAGTTCAGGCACTTACACACATGAACTGTTTGCACTTTCCCTGCTACAGGACAAGGGACATGCCAGGGATGGCTCCCAGGAGCCAGGTGGGTCTGGAGTCTAGGCCCTGTATCAGTACCACATCTGGCATCTTCTATTCTGGGACAGTGCTGAAAAACTACAGCGGGCTCTGCACTCTCAGATAGGAAGTGGAATGAGTCAGGGTCTTGGGCAAAGTGTCTGTTCAGCCTCAGAAAAGGAGCTGATAACGCTCTTCTCTTGCAGAAGGAGCAATGCCAGAAATGATCCCAGTTAGAACTGGCTGTGGCTGGGTGAGCTGCCCTTGGTCTCACTGTTCCCTTTCCTGCTTTTCTGTGCCTGCCTGAAATCTTTCCCCACTGGTTCCCCCAGGACAGGATGGAGCAGTGTTCCTCCCATGGAGCTCCATGGTGAAATGCTGCGATTAAAGCTCTCTGGAGAGCATACAGTGTTATTTTCTGTAGTCTCAGTTTTCGATCTCAAGAGACTTTGCTTGTAGCTTGGATTTGCTGTCAGTGCTTGATATCAATGCAAAAACTTCTGCCTTTTCCCAAGCAGAGAAAGATTTTAAAAGCCCCGCCTGAACAAAATAAAGGGGATGTTGCTTGAGAACAGGGAGTGAGTTCTTGTCCGGGAAGGGCAAATAAACTAATGTTTTTCTGGTGCCAGTTAAAGGACCTGTGTGCTTTCGCTTTTGAGCTCTCCTGGCCAGTGTTCTGCCTGACTGTTGGTTCTTTCTTGCTAGGCACTTGTACGGCGGTCTGGGCCAACTGACGGACGGTGTGCTGGGACTGGACGATTTCACGCAGAGCCACCAGTACCGTGTGTGGCCAGGCTATGACTATGTTGGCTGGAAGAATGAGAGCTTCAGCACGGGCTCTGTTGAAATGGAGTTCCAGTTTGACCGACCACGGAACTTCACCTCCATGAAGGTAGTCGGCGTTGTCCCTCTCCAGCAACTTGGAGCAGGCTTTGGGTCTGGGTGCTTCCAGATTGCCCCTTTGGGTCATCTTCCCAAAGCAGGAGGATGCAAAGTGCCTGACAGCAGCGTTCACCATAGGCAGAATTTGAGCAGGAGATATCCCAAGTTTACCAATGTGGAGAGGTGAAGCAGGGGACCACTTGCCTTTCCAGAGCTCAGACACTCTCTGTATTTGGCTTAAAGGAATAAAAAGCAGACACCTGAAGCAGTGGTAAGGCAGCTGAGATGGATTTAGGATGTAGGCTACTTACTACTGTCTAGGGGCTGCCTGACCCTTGAGGTAAAGGAATGTGGTTGCGCTTCCATTTTGATGAAAGATTTCTCTGGATGCCTCAGTCTGTGCTTGTGCTGTGGGAAATTACATAAACACCCAGCAGGATGAGTGAACTTTGCATCTGTAGTAAACAGCAGAATCTTTTAAAAAGGATTGGTGGCTTTTCTTGTAGAGTTTTCAAATTAAGGGGAACCTACCACATCCTTAAGTAAATTGTTTTGGTGGTTACTTACCCTAGTTTTATTTTGTCTATTTTTAACTTGCAACCATTGGCTCTTAGCCTGCTTTTGCTGGCAAAAATAAGAATCCTGCCTTCTCAAAAATTTTCTTGCTTCTACACTCTGATTAAACCACTCTCTTAGTCTTTGCTTCAGTAAACTAAGTTGGCTGAACCTCTCGATGCCTTCCCTGTGAGATCCAGGGTAATTTTTATCGCTATCTTCCAATCCTTTCTTTATTTGCCAGTACTTTTGGAGGTATAGAAACTGGAACTGATTGCAGGCTTTCCATCAAACTGCATAAGAGAATGGTACCAATTTCATGCTTTTGGACAATTCTTCTTTGTTTATGAATCTTGTGATCACATTAGTCCTCCTAGCCAATGCACAAGGAGCCAGTGTTCATTAAAACTTTAGTATCATGCTAAAAGTCAGTTCAAAGTTATTGGCGTTCAGCATAAAAGTCCAGTGTAGAAAGCATCACTTATATTTTGTTCCCAAACTCACTATCCTGAAATGAGTCAGTCCTGGAAACCTCAGATTATTTTGGGAAACTGATTATTTTTTTTCTCTCCATTTAATTGATTTTATTGCTAGTGATTCTGCTTTTTTTTTTTTGAGATCATTGAAAAAGCAAATAACCTTAAGCTAGGAATACATTCTTGTTAGAAAAATGCCTGGGGAAGAATTTGTCTTAAAATTTGTAAGACTTACTATTCGACAATTTTTAATCAAATTAATATAATTCATGAGTTCATACTATGCTAATTGGAGTCAGATGTTATAATGAGTAAATCAAACTCCTTAGAAAAGTCTGTCATGTAAACACAGCCATCCTGATCAACAAAACACATAGCTCAAAAATAGCTACTTCATTTAGTATTTAATTACAAAGCTGTATTGATTAGCATAAATTATTCTTCATTATTTATTAAATGTTGCCTGTTTCAGCTTTGCATTTCTTTTGTACAGGCTAGGTGGCCTGTATATACTTCTTTATCTTCATACCTGTTAGCTTTATCCCAGTCGTCTGAATGTCTCCAGTATCTAAGAAAGTATTCAAAAGAAATGTTAGCAAATATTGCAACTGTATTGCAAATTACTTAGGCTTGCATATTATAAAATTGGACTTTAGGTGGTGCTTGGAATGGAAAGTGTCTCTGTATCAGTCCAAGATGTGAACGTATCCAACTCCTATCCAAATACAGCACAAATTGTATATTGCAGGCGTCAGGCTTTTCTGCCTTGTTATGGATGACTATCTCTCCTTATTGAATAACATTGTCTGAGCTTCATCTGTTCCTAATTATATGCAAATACTATTCTTTTGTCTTTTTACTCCTCATCAGGCCTGTCGTCCTCATTACTGCTGTTCACTGCAAGACCTCACAGAGGCCAAGCAATTAATAGGGCTCAGAGCTGCTCTTAGTTTGGAAACTGCTGTTGCCACAGTTGCTAATGCTCCTCAGTCATTAGGAAATAATTTCTAGAGTTGCTGGGGAGGGTCAGACCACCGTGGCTATGAAAGTGGAGTAGACTGAAGGATACTGAAGACTTTAAGGGTCACTTTATTCCTTCTGGTCACTGGCTGCAGTGCCAAGATACTATAGTCCAGATCTTCAGGACTGCATGGCAGAACTTAAACTGTCATGTTTGTTTAAAAAGGCCCAGGGCAAGATTTGAGCTGAAGACAGGCAGTGGCACAGCATAAATGATCCTTATGAGCCTTGTCCCTCTTCTCAAAGTCTGCTACCTTGGAAGTGCTGGAGGCCTGGGAGACTGCCAGGTGTTTGGTGTTGATGGGGCTGCAATGCCACAGCCCAGGAAGGTGGAGGTGTCACTTTTATGCTGGAGCCTCATGGTTTGGGTGCAGCTCAAGAGCAGGAAAGGAGAAAATTGCTACCAGCTCTTGAGGGGGTAAACCAAACCTCCCAAATACAGAGGGGTAAAGTTGGCCTGAAAGCAGTTTGTGAACCACTTAGTCTGAAAGTGGACTATGTGGACCTGTAGCTCAGATGAGAGGATGCCTTTGTTTTAGTGAGATGTTAGCCTGGCAGCATAGCGACTGCAGTTTAAATTCCAGGGTCATTAGCTAAACCAGTGGTGCTGTTGCAGCGGGGACAGCCTGATGATGAGCCACCAGGAGAGAATGATGGATGCAGGCTTACACAATAGTTCTCTTAAAACTTAGATCCTCAGTTGTCTTCAAGGTGCAAACACAGCAGAAGAGCTGCTGTATGTCAGGGGAATATCTTCTTGAGTTTTTACCATTTTAGAAAAAAATAAATTAGTTTAGACAGCAGATGCTGAAGGCTTTTTAAAAGAAGGTAGAGCCCAGTTGTGGTTTTTCTTTCTCCTCTTAGGTTATATGTTTAAGGATAATTTGTCTGTGAGGTTTTAGATTAGTATAGGGTTTGTTTGACTGATTTTGATATGGGCCTTTTGAGGAGCATGCCAAAACTTGACCATTAATGTAGCTTTTGTCTGTAAAGTTACGAACTATTTCAGAATAACTGCACAAATGTTCTCATTGCACACTGAAAATAGCTGGGACAAGTCACTCAGTCTGGGTAGGGAGTATTCATACAGGGAGGTATTTGAAATAGAAAATCTTCATGAACAGAAAATCCCTGAGGCTTGATTAAGGCTTCAGTAAATCTTCCTCCTGCCTGATTTATTTGTTCTCTTCCTAGGTACATTGTAACAACATGTTTTCCAAGGGGGTAAAGATCTTCCAAAAGGTGGAGTGTCTGTTCAAACCACGCCTGATTGCAGACTGGGAGTCTGAACCCGTTGGAGTGGCAACTGTCTTAGATGACAAAAACCCCAGTGCTAGGTTTGTGACTGTCCCCCTCAATCAGCGTGTAGGTAAAGCCATACTTTGCCGCTTCTACTTTGCTGACACCTGGATGATGATGAGCGAGATTTCCTTCCAGTCAGGTGAGTATTCCTCCAGTCAAGCAGATCTGGTGCAACAGAGAGTAAAAGAGATGGTGTGGAGGTGCAGGACGTGGGGTTAACACAAGTGTACGGCACCGTGGGGCTGCACAGTGGGAAGGAGGAGGTAATAGTAGCACTGAAGGGGTTGGAAAGGCAGTGCAGGGATGGAGGGGTCCAGTCTGCAGTGGATGCTTTTCAGGCTGATACTGATGCACATGTGCAGAAGCATAACCAAGGCAACCAAACATTGGATTATATAGCATTTCTCCTTTTTGAGACAGTTGCCTGCTGGTTATGGGGTTGATTTTTTTACTTCTCCTTATCAAGTATTTAGTTATGAATAATTTATCTACAGATGATGATCAAGTTAGTAGATTATGAAAAATAAAAGGCTGACTTTTTTCCCCTCAAGCCTTAACTATGACACAGAAGTCAGTGCCATGAGGTGTGGACAAGAGTCTTGGAGAAAACAGCCAGCACTGACAGTGAAATGATGTGACTGTAGCTTCCTACTTGAAGTTCCCCAATCAGTTATAGCGAGAGGACATTCCTGGGGAAGGAATACTCTGATTGTAGCTTGTTGCTTATCTTGCTGATAGCAGCCCCTCTTGGCTACCCTCTGTCACATGTGGAGCTAGGCAGACTCTTGGTCTAGCCTGGCATGGTGATTCTTATAATCATGCTGAAGTGGAATAAAAGGTGTTGCTCTGGCCAGGCTCAGGGAAGGATCCCGCACACACTGGCAGTTTGCTGTGATCAGGATGTACAAGCTGCTCAACAGAGGCTCATTCCTGCAGGTGTGCTGGGAAGTCCTGAGTGAGCAGGTATCTGCTCACGCTGTTCGTGACCTGCTGTGTAGGTCTGGGCGCTGTCCTGCTTGGGAAGGCCGGGGTGGTGGTTGGGTTTGCACTGACAGCTGGCAGGAGCTGGGAGGTCGCTTGTTGGACTGATACCTTCCCTTCCCTTCCACAGACATGGAGAGCGTGAATCCTAATTTTGTTACGGTAGCCACAAGCACAGTGGATCTCCTGGAAACAGAGTGCAATGCTACTGAGGGGACCTGGGGTAAGGATTTCTGTCACTTAGCCATGCCAAGGGCTCAGGTGTTGGGGGACTTCACAGTAACATCCCAGTTAATGTGGTCTCTCCCTCCATTTCTGGAGATCTAGGTATGGCCTGGTTGTTGCCCTCATGCACAGGGCTGCATCTTACAGGCCTCTGAGCCTCAGCTATTTCTTCTTCCCTCAGCTGGCTGAGGCTGCCTCAGAGCAAGTGGGCTGAAGGCGTACGTGCAGCCAGTGAAACTCTGAAAACTGTCTGCTCTAATATGGATCCATTGCAGGAATCTGTTCCAATGCTAAGAACAGTCTTTGATTGCAGAAGTCCTCTGCACAATTCTTAGCTGTGAGTCTCCAAAATGAAAATTTCTGGTAAGAGCAAAATGTGAACACAGCTAATGTGAAAGCTCAGGAAGCTGCCAAAGATTTTCTGTACCAGACAGTAGGAAGGGATGTGTAGGAAGCTAGCCAGCACAGATAACAACCTACGCTTTAACTCCAGATTCTTCTTCATACCTCTGTGATTGCAGAAACCACATCTTCTGTAACCAGCACCTGGATAGGAGAGAAAGCAGATGACTCCAATACCTCCATCCTCGTGGGCTGCCTTGTGGCTATTATTCTTCTGCTCTTGATGATTATATTCATTATTCTTTGGAAGCAATATGTTCAGAAAAGGTTGGAAAAGGTAATAAAATGGCGCTATTTTACTGACGGAAGTTCAGTACTAAGCATTAACCCTAATGAGCTCAGAATTATGTGGAAAGCACAAGGTTTCTCCAGCTCCATAGAGTAGCTAAAGCTGTTCTCACAGCAGGGGAGGATGCCAGCCCTATCCAAGATGTTACTGGAAATTGCTGCAGTTGCAGCCAATACATTACTTAACAAGTGAGCATTGCCTCAGCATTTTTTTTCTCTTTTGCAGGCCCCACGTCGAATCCTGGAGGAGGATGCCACAGTTCGCCTCTCCTTCTACAGCTACACCATTGCCAACAACCAGACCCAGATCCACCAGTCAAATCCTACCTATGAACGTGCTTTCCCACTGGATTTGGAATATCATCAGCCAGCTACGCTGCTTCAAAAGCTTCCAGAGCTCTCCCAAAGTGCAGAGGATTCAGGTAATGTAATTGTCAGGTGTTACACATTTATCCTCTTACTTCTCTCAGATTTTAAAATGTGCCATTTTTCAGTGTCTAAGTAATCTCTGACTCCCCTGCAATACAGTACTAGCCCAGGGACCTAAGACAACATTCTGGAACTCTGAAACTTTGGCAGATGGAGCACCAGCCCCATTAGAGGGTGATGACCTTTTATTGTTCTCTTTGAAGACTGTTTTTACATTAGCCAGATCATCTTTTAGGAGCTGGTTTTGGTGATCAAGGCAATCACACATCAATTGTCTCATCGGCCTCTTGGCAGTGGAGTCACTGCCTGCAGCACTGTTGGGCTGTCCAGACTGGTGGAGAAGACCTTTAGCACCTTTTCCTGCAGCAAGGGCCCTTTGCAAATCCCTTAGCAAAAGCAAAGGGAAATTTAGCAGAGAAGTATTAGTGGTGCCCTGGCTTCCAGCCCCTGGGGAGCTTTTGGACTTAGGCAGAAGGAAATGTTTCCAACGGTGTTTGGTACTCTGTGATGGCAGTGCTGATTAGTGGATGGAAGGGGCAGTGCTGCATTCCTCAAGCACTGACAAGTTGCTAAGATCCAGCATTATACTACACAGGGAGACTGGAATGAGTCAGGATATGAATTTGAAGTAGAAAAAATGTTCTGTTTAATACTGACCATACAATTATAAAGAGTTGTTATCCCATGATACTTATGTGAATAAGCGGTAAGAGGTAGCGTAGCATGGAAACCTTGATCAGTTCTTGTTGCGGAAGGGAATCCAGAACAAGTTGGACATTGCAAACAATATGAGTCAGGTGAAGGGAACAGATTGTATTTAGGATGAATCAGAAACAGGAAATCACTTCAGCTTCGAGCCTCCATGTCTGGGCAAGAACTTTAGCTCTCATAATTGGATAGAGCAGGCAGCTGTTTAACACAAATTCACTGGCACCTCACAAGTAATTCTGGTGTCTGCAGAAGCGTGGCTTGTTCTGGTTTTAGCCCTGGTTAAAACAAAGCAGTGTCTTCTATCCGGGTGTACCTTGGTATGAGGTGGTAGGGGTGCAGTGAGGCTGAATTCCCAGAGTTCTGCAGGACAAGAGGAGTGGAAGCTGGGCCATACTGGTTTTAAGGGAGTGTGTGTGTGTGACTCCATCTGTCTTTGGTTTCCTCTCAGTGTGCAGTGGGGACTATGCCGAGCCTGACCTGACCAAGTCCACCCCTCACCAAGGCTTTCAGAACAATGTTCCTCACTATGCCGAAACAGATATTGTCCACCTGCAAGGTGTGACCGGTAACAACATGTACGCAGTCCCAGCCCTCACTGTGGATTCTCTTACCAAGAAGGACATCTCAGTGGGTGAATTCCCACGACAGCAGCTACGGCTCAAGGAGAAGCTGGGAGAAGGACAGTTTGGAGAGGTACAGCCATTCCCTTCCATTTTCCTTCCAACAGAAAGGAGATGCCTGGCAGAGCTGAATCTTCTGATCTGCCTCTGTCACTGCTTCATAATTGAGGGCTGAGGGTTCTGCATTCCAGTATTTTACTTAATATGTGTCTGCTGTTGAGGAAAGCTGGTATACCTTAGGATAGGCTTCAGAGAGCCCCATTCTGCACTTACGAGGCTGCTGCTTGGTACCACATGAGTGTCTCTCAACAGATTAACTTTGCAAACATTTTCTGTTTGCTGCCTATATCCTTGTTTATGACCTTATAGAAAAGTCCTGGGGGTGGGAATTCAGACTGTTTCATGGTCTTCAAAGGACATCTCAAATGTGATGGCTGTCACCTGCCTTTAGGCATGTGAGTTTGAAAACTCTAGCAGTAACTCCAGCCAAGACAGATTGATCTTAGCCATAAAAACAGCTTTCCCGTTCTCTCTGCATGCTGAGCAAGCAGACAGACATTTCCCAAGCACTGTGATGCCCTCATATTCTCTAGCATTGCTGCTTGCTCAAGCCCCAGTTTGTGTCAGAAGCCTCAGGCAGCATGATACATGCATCTGTCATCTGCCAAGCTTTTTCTTTACTCCTTGAGCTCCTTTCAAGCTGTAAATGTTTTCACCTTGCCTTTTCTTCTCTCCCTACTTCATTTCTGCACTATCCCTAGTTCCATACTGAGTGGGTTTTCCCCTCTCCTGCTCCCACTCTTCCACTGTCTCTTTTTTTCTCTTCCAGGTTTTACTTAGAGCCTTAAATTCTACCTGTCTACTACATTTTGGCAAAGCACAGCCCTTTACTGATTGCTTCCTCCTCTGTGATGTGCCCATCTTTACAGTTCCTCCCTTCTGACAGCACGCTTTCCCTACCCCAGCCTCTTTCCTGTCCCCCTCAATTCTTTCTGTATCACTCTGTATTGGGAAGATGCTGACATCCTCAGCCTCTTTACCTGGCTGTCAGTGAACCCTCTTTTGCTGTTTCCTGGATCCTGCCCTGTCTTGGGCTGTGCTTCAAAAGTGAGAGAGAGGCTTTTTTTCCTCATTGTTTAGCTTCTGGTTTCTCCTTCCCTCTCGTTCCTGTCCTTCTAATAACTGTCAAAGCTTTCTCCTCCTCCTCCTTTTTGTTGTCAAACAGCAGCAGCCAGACTCTCCCATCTCCATTTTTCTTGGAGATTAATCAGAGCCTGTTCTTTTCCTCACATCACAGGCTTCTTCCCTCACTTTTGCACATGTGCCTCATCGCGTTCTCCTGTACTCCTTCTCACCTCCTTAGTCTTTACCAAACTGGTCGTCATCATATGCTGTGCTCCACTGCTCTGGCTTAGTGTGATGTCTTGGTTCTAGAAACATGGCTCACTGCTTTTTTCACCTCTCCAACCAGATCTTCCTTCCCTTTCAATTTTTTCTTCCTTGTTCCTAACCATCCATTCCCTGGACTCAGTGACACATTACCTGAGCTTGTAATACATGCGCTTAGTAGTGGCTCTCTCCTATTCCTAGTCTCATGACTGTACTTTCACCACAGCAGATTTTGTTCTCTGTGTAATTGCAGCAGCACCTTTGCAATTTTGTTTCCATTCTGTGGGTTTGTCCCATTTTCTACGCTGCCACCTTTTTCTCTTCACCATGCTTGTCACATAAGTTCTTGCTGCTTTCTTCATATCAAATTCATTAAGTTCCCATTACCTTCCCCTCACTGCTTCAAGTCTGACAGATACATGTAGTCTGCTCCCCTCCTCCAGTCCTTTTTCCTATTCCACACACTCAGGTCTGTCTGCTTTCCCCACCCCAGCATCTCTTGCCAGGTTCTGGATTTGAATATGCATTTTAATAACTTCTTAAGCAAGTGTCTTGTTATCCCTCTTATACAACTCTGGCAGTAATTTCATGTCTTCATTTATTTATCTGAAGAAACTTGGAGTTCTGTGTACTCGGAGTATTCATCTCTGGGTGTATTCACAGGTGAGGTGTTTGCCTCATGGACACATGTACACACTTTTCTCCCCCCACTTTTTATTTTCCTGGAATTAGAGGGCTTTGGGTAGCTGCCTGTAGTTCCTGGATGCTTCTCAGTTAAGTTTAAGCAGTGACTCAAGCCAGGCTGCAGGGAAGTTCTGGGCTTGTATGGCTGGTGTGATGTGCTGCACATGCCAAACCTGGCACAGCCATGCTGTTTGCATGCACATGCAGAGTAAAGCAGACAACTTCAGGTACAGTAGCCTTCCTAAACATCTCCACTACTTGCTGGGCAAATTGGACTGGCCCGGTAGGCTACTGCACCAGTCTGCCCACGTGCAGTAAATTCAGTGTGTTGGGGACACATGAGGCTGCAATCCATGCATGTTCCTATGCCATGGGCTATATAGTGTACGTACGCATTTTGTCCAGTATCTAGGGCCAACCTGTGGGCTATTTCTGATCAGAACAGTGTCACCTTCATTAGGTCATTCACTTGGGTGGTGACCAAAGTGATGACCTCAATGTGCTGCCTTTCTCTGATTTTCTGCCTGTGCATACTCTCATAGTTGCCTCTGCCTTCTGCCCCACAGGTGCACCTTTGTGAAGCTGACGGCCTGCTGGAATTCCTGGGAGTCTCATCTACAGAATTCACGCACCAGCCAGTTCTTGTAGCAGTGAAAATGCTGAGATCAGATGTCAACAAAACAGCCAGGTAAGATCATCCCTAATGCCGACCATCTGAGAAGGAAAGCAAATACTCTCCAAGCAACAGTTTCACATAGGTTAACCCTGGTGACTTCTGTAAGAGAGTGTCATGTGTCCCTGGTGTATGTTCTATGTGTTCATGTAAGGAACAGGACATAAGCAGGGAGTGGGGGATAGGAATAGACACCATGTCAAGCTAAAATGCTGTATTAATCCTGTTTGCTGAGGAAGGGATCAATGTTGAACACAAGCACAGAACCAGCTTTCAGACTTAGAGTGTGCGGAAATGTAAACGGCTCTGAACTGAGATTTTCTTGCATGCTGCTTCTGCTTTCCTTAGACAAAGGAATAGTTTAGGATTCAAATGTGTGTTTTGTGTTTTACAAGAAATGATTTCCTGAAGGAGATCAAGATCATGTCGCGGCTGAAGAACCCAAATATTATCCGGCTTCTGGGGGTGTGTGTGCGTGATGACCCACTGTGCATGATAACAGAGTACATGGAAAATGGAGACCTCAATCAGTTCCTGTCACAGAGGGAAATCTACAGCAAATTTGCCATTTCAAACAATATTCCCTGTGTCAGGTAAGAGCAACTGCCCGTCATTGGGATGAATCAACAGTACAGAGCTACCGGTTTCATCTGCTGTGCCTTGCAGGCAGTGACTTTCCTGCAGCGCGGCCACTGCCACGGCACATGCTGTGGACACTAGTGCTGCTTTGTGTGGGAGGCTGTTCTTGAGGCCTCTGGAGGTCTGTGTTCCTGTGAAGTGTCACTGACTGTGGCCTGTTCTGGTCACAGTGACCATCTTGGGTGTATCATTTATTGATATGACCATCTGTTTATGTTAGTGGGCTTGCATCAAATAGTTCATTAATTTAGGAAGTCAGTTGCATTACAGCAAAAATTTTGGGATGAAAATCAAGAATGTCTCTTAGGCTTTTAAGAAGGTTCATATGTTCTCTGGATGTCTAAAATATTACATGAGTGGAGTTGAGTGTGGAGCTTCTCTGAGGAAAAATTTCATCAGCCAACAGAAAGAGAATATTTGGTAAAGAAAGCCATTTTCTGTCAGTGGTGGCACTTCTCTCCCTCCTCAATGAAAGGATTAAATCTAACATAAAAGCATCTCTACTATTGCAGAAATCTTTTCCTCAGAGGAGAGTTGTGTGTAGGACTAAAGTATTCTGGTCTTCTAACTTATACAGAAACCTGCACTCATCAGAAGTCACTGCATTGCTTGGCCTTCGGCATGTACCTCCCCAAAGGCTTAGATTTATTTATAGTTCCAGAACTAGGTAGTTAGGCAGAGCCAGTTCTGCTGATGGACTGAACAGGAGATGGGTGGGTCTTACCATGTCAGGACAACACCAGTGTTGCTGACAGTGGTCATCAGTCCCATTGGGGTGTTAAACTGGCATCCTGCAGTTATCACACACAGGAACTCTAGGATGGGAGAGGATTTGCATCTGAATAGAACCATATTCCAGCTCTTTCCAGTCTCCTGCCCTTTCTGCACATCTGAAACAGTTTTCACCTTCAGACTTGTGGCTTTTTTTTTCCTGGCCAAAGCCTCAAACTGTCCTTTCTTCTTTATCTCCTCTCCGCTCACCTGACTTAAGCACTGTCACTCACATTATTCTTCCTTGGTTTCCATTACTTGGCTCTACCTCTAGTTTTTGTTTCTCTCCAGCTGATCCTTCAGCCTCTCCTTTTGTCCCTTTCAGTCAGATACAATTTCACATTAAAGGAAGCTGGTATGACTAGCTCAGATAGCTGTCTATAGGAGTTGTTTACTGAGAGTGAAATGAATCCCCCTGCCAAAGCACGCAGCTTGTCTCTGGGGTGCTGCGGGTGTCTGACAGGGCAAGGTCCACCCATCCCACCTGTCTCTCAAGCCCAATATTCGGTGCACCAAATGGGGTGATCAGCCCTTTCTTGCAGAGAGGTCACGTGTTTTTAAGTCCTTAGGGCTTTTTGGTATTTGAAATGCATCTCCCTACTGTCTGTCTGGCTATCGAGCAAATCCTGAAGATGAGTCTGAGGAGTGTCTCCTGTCCTGCCCCTCTCTGTGCAGAGCTGCACGCATCACGCCCTGCAGAGCTTGCTGAGCAGAGGGGCAGGGAGCCAGAAAGTAGCTGCTGATGGGACCCTGCCGGGGTGCAGGAGGGACAGGAGAGACGGGGCCTCTCAACTGGGAAGAGCAACAGCCCCAGGGAGGACACAGCTGCAGCTGAGCAGGGGGAAGGGAGAATGTGGGATCTTGGCGGCTATGCCTGCCTGCTCCTGTGTGAAAAGCCAACAACCAGGTTAACAAGGTACAAGTGGGTGGCAGAGTCCCTTCTCTGGATGGAGGCACAACAGGTCCAGCCAGATCAGGAGAAACATGAAGCTGATGGTGGGACCTCGCTGAGTTGGGGTGTTGGCTGTGCTGAGAGGCTGGGAGGGCAGTGGTGCCCAGCGCTCTGCGGGGCGAGGGGCTGCCTCTCCCTCGCTGTAGCGAGAGCTTAGCTGCTGATGACAATAGCTAGATTGGATCTGTTATTGTTAGATGCATTATGTTACTGTAATTTAGATAACATGGTAGTGCTTTTCTCATTGCCGCCAGAACACAGAGAGGAGGAGACTAATCCTTTCTTTTTCTGATCTTTATCAGAGAAATACTGTGAACAGTTTGTTAGATTTGTTGTGACAAATGCTTGGTTGTGTGAAGCATTTAAGCACACAGTGGGAAACAAGGTGAGCATCACAGAATAATAGTGTGTGAAGAATGCTGAGAGTCAGATGGTGCAAATTCTGTCTGTGTATCATACAACTTTATTAATATTCATTTTACTAATGAGGAATTAAAATTATATTAGGTGGAAAATGCATCTGTTTATACTTCCAGTGATATTAAACTTTTTTTTAAAAAAGTAATCTATCTTTAATGTTAAGAGGCATACTGATATTAATGCAGTAGTAGCAGTGTTTGAAATACCAGGCTAAGCAGTTTTAAGATACGAGATTCTGAGATGGTACAGCTTAATTTTTATGTGTCTCTGCAAAAAATTCATGCTTTGATGCATAAACTCTTTGAAAATCTTGAGATTAATGCTTGATATTAAAAATCTAAAGGATGTCAAATTCTAAGGGCCCTGGATTTCAGGGACAGCTTGTCTGTTCTTGCTTAGTCAGCTCAGGAGTGTGGCTTAGCCTTGCAGGTGGGGGTGTTAGTGCCCTGAAATGAAACAGTTCAATTTCACTGTTATGGCAGAAAATAAAATGACTGGTCACTGTAACACATCAAATGCAAGAAAGAGTTGAGTGTGGGGAACTCTATTGATTTTTCTTTGTTATGTTTCTTTTAATGCAGCTACTCTAACCTGCTGTACATGGCCACTCAGATTGCCTCTGGAATGAAGTATTTAGCATCTCTGAATTTTGTGCACAGAGATCTGGCAACTCGTAACTGCCTGGTGGGGAACAACTACACCATTAAGATTGCAGACTTTGGCATGAGCAGGAATCTTTACAGTGGGGATTACTACCGTATCCAGGGAAGAGCCGTACTGCCCATACGTTGGATGGCCTGGGAAAGCATCCTCCTGGTAGGGACTGCACAAAAACATTATCCCTTTGTCTGATTTTCACTGTGCACTTGAAACAGTAACGTGTATGTGTAACACATCCAGTCTGGAGCAAGTTCCTTAATATTCAGCCCAATATTTCTTTCTCAAGCTAGTTGGTGAGATCACCTGGTTATGCTTTCTTACAACATGTTCTCGGAGTACCCAGAAAAAAATTGTAATTACCTCTGCTATAAAAGCTGATAGGCCTAAGCTTTTCTAAATTCACCCTATTTTCTTGGTTACAGCTTCATCTAAACTGTAAGTCACTCCCATATTCCTTGTGTGAACATCTTCCAAACATTGACAGACTGCTAGGGTTGCCAGATAAGCCTGGGCAATCTGGGTCTTGGATGTTTTCTGTTCAAACAGGCCCTCCAGCCCCCAATTGTTTTATGTTATTTTCTGAGCAGTCTAGCTGCTTTTTACTTCTTCGGAAACACATTGTTCCAAACACAGCCAGTTTGGGCACATTTTTCAGAGACAGAAAACAGGGACAGCAAGCAGGCTGTCACAGACTTCTTACATGTGCGGAGATCAAAATTATTGTGGCCTTTCTCTAAGAGTCTGGAGTCTGCTTCGGCTCTGCTTTCACCCTGAGGGTTTTGCTTCCTGTTCAAAGGTTTTTCTGTGCTGCACTGCTGTGTTTTGGGTGGAGGTAGGCAGCAGCTATCCGCCCCCTGGCCACAGACCATTTTTCTACTGCTGCAAATACAGACTTTCTCAGGAGGCACAGTATTCCTTTTAGCTTTCCCTGAGACTTGCTCTCTGTTTCAAGAGGTTTGCCTCAGTGAAAACTGCACTGTCTTAGAGCTCTGTCCCCTGGGTCCCATAGACATGCTGCTCCTGCCCCAAAAAGCAGCCATGTCATTCCTCGGTCCCTTTGTGCATTGCTGAGAGCAGGTCACCCGCTCTGCTGTCTCTTTTCAGAGCACTTTCCCAGGTACTAACTCTACATCCTCGTGTTTAGCTGCAGAAGGTGTAGACTGAAATGTTTTTTGCTGAATGTGCACTGTGAGCAACCTGGGCTTACAACATTCTTTCTGTTCACAGGGCAAGTTCACCACAGCCAGTGATGTCTGGGCCTTTGGGGTCACCCTCTGGGAGATGTTCATACTGTGTAAGGAGCAACCTTACAGCCTCCTCTCAGATGAGCAAGTCATCGAGAACACAGGAGAATTCTTCCGGAGCCAGGGCAGGCAGGTAAGAAAGCAAATGTGACCTCTCCTTCCTTCCCTTGACCTGGTCACATCCAGGTGGGTCTCCCCAGGGCCTTTCTGCTGGCCTTCTCTCATCTGCAGAAGTCTCTGCTTCTGTTATTCATCTTCTCAAATCTGTCATGCCTCTCTTCCCCCTTATCTAGGTTCGTTGCACCAGCTTTCCTCTCTTGGAGTCCCACTGGAAGAATCTCTTGGCTCTGTCCAGTGCTTCTTCCTTATTATAAGCCACTTCTATTTCAGTCTGCACTGTCCTCAGCTTTTCTGGGCTCTCCTACACAATCCTTTTGCTCTTTTTCTTGGTCAGATCTCTATCCCACTAGCATTTTCTCTGAAAGATGAGGAAGCACTTACTGAGGTGGGAAAGGAGGAGTTGTTAGTTCCCAGGGGTTAGATAATCTCCAATATCTCCACATATGCAGAGAAGCCCTTGGCCACCTTTCATTGCTGAAGGGCTTTTCTGTGTCATTCTGTCCTCTCTTACTAACTCCCAGGCAGGACTGTGCCCTCCAGTGCTGCTGCCTTCAGCAGGTACCAGTGATGATGCAGGACAATCCACATCCTCAGTACTGAGGATCACTGTACCCCAAAAAGTGGGAGTGCCTGTTCAGAACAGTTTGCTGTTCTCCCAAAATTCACCTTTAGCACCAAACAAGTTAAAAGATTAAGGGAAATACAGTGATGGGAGGTTTTATTCACTGTCTCCCAAATACTAGTGATTTAGTGAAGAGCCTAAAAGGTATGTATTGAAATGAGAGGGGGAAAAAAAAAAAAATCTGCCAAGCTGTGCTTTAGATAAGCTCTAAAAGGTGTTTTTTCTGTCTCTGCTAACAAGCTGTCACGATGCTTAGAAAGCCTCATGGGTTGTCTACGGTGAGTGAAAGTATTTGGATTTTATTGTGGTAAATTTGGTTTTGGTTTGTGTTTTGCTGTCACTTGGAAGACCAGTCTCTTTGAGGCATTCATGTTTCCTGAGGCACAAAGGACTGTTTTGTGACCAGCTCATCAAACAAGTTGGCAAAGTGTCCGCAGCGCCATCTGAGATGGCGTCAAAGCTCCATCCAGACTTCACTGCCAGATTCACGCTGAATGGATTTCAAACAATGCATGATGGCTGTGTCTTGTAAACCTAGAATGAAACTGTCCTTTTGGTGTTAATTTAGTAAAGATTCAGTTCTTTTATAAAAAACCCACTGAAATAGCTGTACCTTTCTTCCTTTCAGATCTATCTCTCCCAGACTCCTCTGTGTCCTAACCCTGTGTTTGACCTGATGCTGAAATGTTGGAGCAGGGATATAAAAGATCGTCCCACTTTTGACATGATTCACCACTTCCTGCTAGAACAAATGGAATCAAACATTTGACTCCAGAAAGAGACAAACTGTTGAGAACAGAGTACCTTTGGTGTCTCTGCCTGTCCCTCACAGGCCACCTTGCTCTCCTCCCTTGACTGTACCGTATTTAAGTTGAGACGTCCATGGCAGCTGCTCATTCTATTGGCCATGGTCTGACACACAGGACCAGAGGATCTCGTTTGGTTGAAAAATCATCTCCTCTTCTGAGTCATTTCCTGGGAATACTGTGAGAGGGGTTTTGTTAGATACCCGTACACCTTTGGGCAAAACAAATGAGTAAAACTTTAAGGGACTTGGAGCTCTCTCTTGAGTGGAATAGAAAGCTACCAGTCGGTGCGAGCGCTACCACTCCAGAACAGATTTTTAGAAGTAAAGACTTCAGTCTTCTGAAACTATTCCATGAAATCAAATGGAAGTCTTGTGCACATTAGCAAGTGTTTCTGTATGCTCTTGCTACAGACAATATGTGTAGTGAGAGACTAGAAATGTCTAGAGCTAGGAAATGATTTAATGGACTTGAGAACTGATGGAGCCTTTAGCAGCCCTTTGGAAGTAACACTACCGGGGTCTACGGAGGATGCTGATACAAGAGTCCAAGATCATGTTCTTTTTTTTCCTGTGGTTGTTAAGCACTGCTTTTGTTATATATGTGCGTTTTCCCCACACTGGATTTTTTTCTAGAAAAAGTTTTGAAAATGAATGTTAAAGGTCATAGGAAGGTCACTGCGGTAGAAGATCTTCTTTTGACCTACAAATTAAGGCTAGGGTAGGGAGTTTGTATTGAAAAGTAGCTGATACTGTACTACTGTCACTATGTAGATTTATTAGCCTAATGAACTTGTAGCCACAATGGACTGATGTGCAATTAATCCTGTATAAGTACCCATTAATATGAGATCTCTAAGTCAATGCTGTTACATGTGCAGAGGGAACTTAGACTTGGTGAAGGCGAATGGCTGAGAGCGGAACCCGCTATGTCACTTGTCACAGCTCACGCGAGAGGAAAAGGAGCAGAGGACGGGTCGTCCCCCGGCACGCGCGCTCGCGTACGCGTGTCTGGCACCAGCGGTTCCCCTTCAGCCCGGGCTCCTTTGCTGCCGTGCTCAGCTCTCCCGTCGGGAGATGGGACCGACATATCTCCTTAGTTTGGGTTGGGGTTTTATTTCGGATGCTCCCTGCACAATGCAAGACCATTTACTCATTGAACTTGAGGCTGGTTTTTGTTCGTCGTGTCACAAACGGCTCATTCTCTGGAGGGTTTCGGAGGGCTCTGCAATCCATTTGGAGTGAGTTAGAGAATGCAGCTAGTTTCTACAATAAATCCATTGTGGATTTACCAGGTGCCTGGGGAATACTCTGCTATTCCCTCTCTAATCATTTAGCAAGATACTTGGGACCAAACCAAATATTGCATAAGCTGGGAGAAGATGAAAGCTCAGCACTTGGCTTTTTTTTAAGCAGCATCCAGCATAGCATATATTTCCAGTAAAGGTTATAAAGATAATTTTTATCTTCGCCACAAGCATAGTGTGAATGGCTGTCTGTGCTATGAGCTCTCTAAGAGGGCACTGCTGAGAGAGGGAATGTCAGAACAGTTATAATATGAGGATAACTTATGTTATGGATTGGCAGCTGCCAGGATGGAGCATAGCATGGCCGTGTCTGCCCCTCGGGCAGAGCAAACTCTGTCGTGAAGTTTCCCAGTTGCAGCTCCCACGGTGGGACTGTGCCCGGGCTGTCCCGCTGCAGACCTGGCCGCGTGTAGGCGGCCGCATCCGAGCTGGTCCCCTGAGCCCCCTCCACGTGCGAAGGAGCCAGCGGGCCCAAGTCAGCTCATCTCCCTGCGAGGGCTACACGGGCTTGGGTGAATCTCACCCCCAAATAGGTATTTTTTTTTTTCTCCTTTGCCAAGGGAGGCGCAGGGTGAGCTGCCGTTACACGGGTGCACCATCTGTCTGGAGCTGGGCGATGGGAGTCAGCGCGGTCCCTGCTGCAGCCTGTCGGGCACTGGTGGCTGGCAAACCACGCGTCGATTGTATTTCTGGAGTATTTCTATCCTGTCCCAGAAAATGTACCCAAGTAATGCACAGCTGTGTGCGTGATCTCCTGTACTTCAGAGTTTAGAGATACCAGAGCGCTGTAACGTCACCTGGATGGGCTTTGTACTTCTGTTACGTCAGGATGTGCTGTTCCTCCATTGACATGTTGACATACGAAGTTTCTCTCGTATCAATAAATTCTAATGATAACCTTGACAAAAGTGAATTTCTACTTTTTTTTTTTTTTTTTTTTACCCGGGTGTCTGCACTGAGGACCAACATTTTGGTCTGATTATTCAGTAGCTCTTTAGTGCATGTGTGACCCACAGGTTTGGAAAGAGCAGCCACTGGCTGTGGTTGTTTAAAGGAGTGAGCTTTGCAGGGAGTTTCTGAAAATGCTGGGAAGATGCTGGCCTGAGCCTCCTCAGGAGCCGAGGAGGCTGATGGGTCCTGGGATCATTATTCTGTGCTGTGAATACAGTGCTGTGTTTCAGTAAGCAATTTTTTTCCACGCTCATATTAAACCTTAGAAGATGATCTAGGCTGGGAGGGACCTTTGTAGGTCTCTAATCCAATTGTCCACGTCAAAGCTGCCTTGGGGTGCTCTGGGTGTTCCCCAGCTGAGCGTTGAAGATCTCCAAGAATGGAGATGCCACCGTGTGCCAGGGCTGTGCCTCTCCTGTGGGGGAGAACTTTGTGGCCAGCGGGCCTTCCCCTTGTTGCATCTTGTGCCTGTTACCTCTTGGTCTTTCACTGCACGTCTCTGAGAAGGGCCATTAGACACCTCGCAGACCCACCTGCCCTGCAGACCTGGGCTGCTGGAGGGGTGGACCCCTGATTAGAGCTCAGGTATTTGGGCAAGCTCAAGTATATTTATATAAAGTTCCAGATCTCCCAAAGTGTTTAAGCACTAAGGGCAAGAGTCAAAGAAGCATTTTCATCTCCTAGGGTACAATTTTGTGTGGAGTATAAACACCTAAACGGATGAGAAGAACCCTTGAATAATCTGTGATTTCTGGTTGGTGTCCCTGACGTGTCCGTGTGGCCGAGCCCTTGCAGGCTGCAGAGGGACTTTGGCAGGGAAGCAGGCTTGCTGCTGGTGTCTGATGGAGGCAAGGCTGGTGCCAACAGGCGGGGTGGTCTTTGACCTGAAGACCCCCGGGGGCTGTTCAGTAAACAGGAGACCCGAGTCCTGGGCCTGCCTTCAGCTGAAGGGGGGGGTGACACCCACGGCACACGACAACGTGACCACACGGTGTTGGGAACGGGAACGGCCTTTATCCTGCGTGGAGCGAGGCAGGGGAGGCTTGCATCCTCAGCCGGGCAGCCCGGGAGGGTGACGAGGAGCGCCGGGCCTCCCACCACAGCGCGGTGAGTCCCCTGACTTCTGCCTTGGGGTTTCCTCGAGGAAAAAGGGGGGTGGGGGGGTGTGCGGCCATGTGTGCACACAGCGCTGGGCTGGCCATGCGTGGGCTGCACTGGTGGCCGGGGCACGCCCAGCCAGGCTCTCCCGAGGTGGGCGTGTTGGAGATGAACTGCAGCACGAGCACGTATTTATGCTGGGGGCTGCTTTTGGGGAACATCTGGCACTACTGTCCCAAGGGCTATGAACGTTCAAGAAACCTGACAAACACTATAAAATCTCCCATGCTCATCCAAAATTTCCAGGTGGGGGGGGGAAAAAAAAAAAAAATGCGTCCAGAAAAACCTGACAGGCTGTGTGCTGCAGCTGGAAGTGCTGCTGGGTACTGACATCGCTCCCAGCAGCATCACAGAGGTTTCCCGGGCGACTGCATCGCGCTGCATCTCCTTCCTCCCACGCCCGGCCCCGAGAGCTGCCACATTGCCATGGCAGCCCCAAAGGAAAATAGCCTCTTCCCTCGCAATCCCTACTATATCCCTGGGTAAGTTCTGAAGTTTATCCAAAATGTCTGTTCATTTCCAACGCAAATAGCTCCGGTTGGGATCACATAGTAGTTATGATGCATGATATTTTGGGGGTTTTTTTAAAGACACTTAAATATTCCATGTAACAGCGCTCTGAAAGAGACAGGGCTCCAGTATAAGAAACACCACCTTACAGCAGGGCATAATTAAAGACAATGCTATAGCTCATTGAGGGTAAAAACAAAATTGTTCTTTTTTTTTTTTCCCCCTTTTTTTAAATTTGTTTTAAGATGCCAAAAGTTATCAGGGCTGCTGTGCAGGGTTTGGCTTCCAAGCTATAATAACTTTTTCATCAAGAATGTTTGAAGATCTCCTTTGAATAAATATTTGCATAGACATCACACGCTCTTGTCAAATTGGCTGGAGCACAGTCCTGCCGCCAGATCTCAGCTCTTTGAAGAAGTTAGTGGATGCTGGTGATCTAGTTGACAAGTAGTTAGACTTTTTCCAAAGGTTTTTGCAACATTCCCCCTCCAGAGGCTTAGGAAGAAGAGATTAAGGTGTTATGAATAAGGGGTAATGAGTTATTGGTTGAAAGGTTAAGACACAAATGGCAGAAGTAAGAGGGTAGGCTTCGGGGTGAAGAAGGGAAGCTGTGCGAGGGGTACCCTGGGGACCCGTGTAAATGGGCTGGGAAGGGCTGGACAGCCACCGCGGGAAAACAAGCTTCTGTTGGAACAAAATCACTGGGATTAGTCCAGCCTGAGGGCAGCCCCAAAGGGCGTGAGGACAACCTCCCAGCTCAGAGGGGCTGCAAGCCTTGGCGCAGAGAAAACCAGCCGTGCCCCGCAGGGCTGCAGGTGCAGTGCAGGTAGGGGCAGGAGGCAGGCGGGTCCCAAGGGCAGAAAAAGGGTGGAACACGCTTCCTCCCTTAGTGATGCTGCTGCGGTGACGATCACGCCAGTCCTTCCCACCAGAGCAGCGTGCGGGATTTTTCCATTACTGATCTCCGGATCTTCCAAACTTACATAAGCTCTGGGGTTTGGGGGGTTTTAACACGTTGGTGCATTGCTGGGGTTGTCTGAACGATGTGCTGTGTTACTCTGTGCATGCTGTCACCCTGTCAAGGCTGTGTGCTGACAGCAGCTTGGGAAAGATAAGTGGCAGCAAGGAGGGAGCTGCGGCCGGACTCGCACCTCCAAAAGCCTCAAAACCTTCCCTTGCTCGTGCCTGCCTGCCGACAGCCCCCCTCAAAGCAGCTTCGAGCCCTAATACTGACACAGCAGCTGGGGCTGCTCCTCTCCGGGCTGGTGCTTCAGTCATCGAAGGCAGGAGGAACCAAATCCTGCTACTGTGTTTTGCAATGCTGTGCAGGCTCATAGCGTCACCTGGAGCCTCTGAGGAAGCCCCCGTGGGTGGTGAGGGGGCTGGTTTGCATCTGGTTTGGGTGCCTGAGTGCGAGGAGGAGCTGCCTGAAGGGCATCGCCGGAGCCCAGGCCCTGCTGCTGGCAGACAGTGCACCCAGCGCTGGGGTGCTGGCAGGAGGAGGAGGAGGAGGAAGGTGCCGTGTCACAGTGTCTCACCCGGTGTCCCGTGGGCTGTGCCCAGCTGTGCTGGTGAACCTGCAAACACAACGAAGGCATCGAAACGGATTGCTGTCACTTGGGCTGGGTTATGGCCAGGGACAGGGCTTTGAAAACGCCACTGCAGTGCTCGAGCGTGTTGGGAAGCCAAACCCAACGTCTGGGACGGTCTGGGAAGGGGTAAATTCATGAGTCCTGGGCACAGCCCTGCCCGCCCCATCCTGGCTTGGCAGAGCTGGGAAGGGTGCGGAGCAGAGCAAGTCTGGGGAGTGGCGATCGAAGAGATATGGGTGAGTAAGAGAAAAGTGAAATGGGGCTCAGCCTTGGGAAAGCAGGTTACTCACTGCTCACCAGCAGCAGTTGAGATCAGCAACTGCACTGGCTCAGCATGAACTACAGAGACAGGGGAATCCCTCTGCTTTCTTAATCAAAATATGAAACAGGAGAAGGACAAAACCAGCCCTGCTGAGACCAGTCTCTTCCCCAAGCACTACAGCTTTTATCAGCAGCACTCATAATTCACTGTGCAGCAGATCCCTTCTCCATAAACCCAGACTGACTTGCCTGAGCTCCTCAGATTACCTTGCTTTTAATTGCTCATGAATTGAATCCTTTCTCAGCCCTACCATTATTTTGTACATGATCAAAATCCCTCCAGCCATCCTGTAATTATTCAGGTTATGTCATTTGTGCTCTTGCTCAGCTTCATCATCCCAGCGTAGCTTCCCAGTGTTGCAAGACTTATTGAAAATCAATGGTGACGAGCCACCAAGCTCCTCTAGCAGCTGCTGGTGAGAGATCCTGCATGCAAAGTGGGAAAACTTGCCAAATGTAAATGCGTGGCTCTGCTCACTGTTGTTTAAAGTATTTGGAAGGGAAAATACTTACTCATCATCTTATGATCCTCATGCATCATCCGGCTTTATCCCCAGGTACGCAGTGGGCTCATTGATTGAATATTTTTGTCTGTACATTGCAACTGGCAGCTCTACCTTTCTTCTGTGGTGGAATAACATCACCATTAGGAAATTTGATACTGAGAATAGCTAAAGTTCCTGATCCATTCCGGTGGACTTGAGAGCAGAGCCAGAGTTCCAGCTCCTGCCCTTCCCCGAGCCACCAAGAAGTCAAACTGCCCGTCCCAGGACACAGGGAGCAGAGAAGCAGCATCTTGCTCCACAGAAAGGTCCCAAAATTATTGAGTGATGTTTGTTACTGGGGCTGAGCAGCCACCTGCCTGCCCATGCCTCTCCCAGGAGATGCAGTGCCTGGATGGGTTTTTAAAAGGGTGTGGAGAGGTTTAGCAGGTACAAGCAAACAATTTTTCTGATTTTTCAGTTTTGATATTGAACCAGGGACACTGGGAAATTCTCAGTAACGCACTGTTTTAGAACAGAGAAGGATTGCAAAATTTTAATCAAGCATTTTTAACTGGAAATAATATTTTTAACTGGAGGGCTGTCACTGTCAATGCTGTCAAAGTGCACACTGTGCTCCTGCTGTAAGTTTCTCCCTCTGAGGGTGCTGCTCCAGCCCCACACCTGACCTTGTCCCGTATTCCTCCACGAACTGAAGCACGCGCCTGTGCCCATGCACACCTGTAAATCTATGAGCCAGTTTTTTCATGCTTGCATGTGCAAACACACAGAGACAGACACCCGCCTGGCTTCATGCGTGGCCACACACATCAGCTCCGCGCTCCCCGCGCGCTGCTGCTCCACCGGCATCACCTCACCCACGCTCGCAGGCGCTTGCCTGGGCTCGTGTGCTCCGAGCCATGTGTGCCCCTGGCCGTGGCTTTTCCAGCATCCAAAAGCTCTAGAGCAGGTTATTCTACCAGTGGACACCTCCCAATGCCATCTTGGTGACTGCTCTTTTTTGGTTTCCTCCTCAGCTATGAGGGCTTCATCCCTCAGTTCAAGTATCAGGTTGGAGACACTTTTGGCAAGACCACTTACCATCTGCTGACGGACCCTGGTGTTGCAAAGAGCCCTCGCCCCTTGCTGGCGCCGCTGCAGAGGCAGAAGTGCGTTGAAGACTTCGGCAGGAGGAAGGATGGTGTCCAGGGTTACCTCCCTGGGCGTCCAGGTGAGCAGACCCTGGGTCTCCTTCCCTTCGCCAGAACAGGCTCTGCTAACGAGCACAGGGTTAATCATGAGCAGCGGGGGCTGTGCCTGTCCTCAACAGGCTCCTGGGATGAAATGGGAGATTTTCCACGGAGCAATCATAGCTCTGGTGTAGGAGCACAGGCACCCGGAGAACAGCACCGGAGTGGAGCTGGAGCCCTCGGCCTCAGCTGGTGAGCACGGGGCTCCTCACATTGGCATCCGGTAGAGTAGAGAGAATTTTAGTTCCCAGGTTATCTTTGGGTAGATGAAGATAAATGATTTCATGACATATTATGAACTCATTTCCCAGTTCTTCCATATTCCTGTCATGGTTTAGCTCCAGCCAGCAACTAAGCGCCACACAGCTGCTTGTTCACTGCCCTGCAGTGGGATGAGGGGAGAGAATTGGAAGGGTAAAAGTGAGAAAACTCATGGGTTGAGATAAAAACAGTTTAGTAACGGAAATAAAATCAAATAATTATAAATTGTAATAAAAAGGAAAATAAAAAAAAAAAAAAAGGACAAATAAAACCCAAGACAGGCAAGTATTGCAAATGAAAATAATAGCTCACCACCAACCAACGGATGCCCAGCCAGTCACTGAGCACTGGTCTGTGTCCCATCCGTGTGTCCCTGTGTCGTGTCCCTCCCCGCCAAATTCTCCCCCTCTAGTTTTATTGCTGAGCACAATGTCATATGGTCTTGGATGTCCCTGGGGTCAGTTGGGGTCAGCTGTCCCAGCTGTGTCCCCTCCCAGCTCCTTGTGCACCCTGAGCCTGATCGCTGGTGGGGTGGGATGAGGAGCAGAAAAGGTCTGGACTGTGCGAGCATGCTCAGCAGTGATGAAGACATCAGTGTGTTATCAACACTATTTTTAGCACAAATCTAATAGCCCCATACTAGATATTATGAAGTAAATTAATCCTATCCCAGTCAAAACCAACATGGTTCCAAGGGCTAAAGTCCTTGGAGATCTCTGGGGAAGGTTGGCTCTGCCACTTCCAACCCTTCCTGGGCTGACCCGCTTGCTGCAGAGCTCATTGTGCTCAGAGCTCTTACTCACAGCTTGTGGTTCACTTTGCATCTTGCTGCTCCTGCCTCAGCTCAGCAGAAGGGCTCGCGCGCCCTGCCCTTCCCACCTTCCCCACATCTGCTAACTGGGTCCATCTCCTCCATCAGACACTGAGGCGTGCTCACGTAGATTCCCAACGTGGGGAATTTGCAGGAATCTTTTACTGAGTCCCAGCCCTTCTGGGAAAGTGCCTGGTCCCTGCTGAGCAGACCCACATCAGGCCCCAGCAGCAGCCGCACCGTGACCCTGCACCAGCCCCTCTCAGGGACGTCTCCTCGGGGGACGCAGGGGCCGTGTCTCGGCTGTAGCTGTTGCAGATGCCCCGTTCGGTGGGAGCGAGTCCTCTCCCGGCTGGACGCAGGGGTAACGTGCCCAGGCAGGACGTGGGTCTTCATTTCCCTGGCCATGGCCACACCAAAGCGACGTTTTCCCATTTCACACCATGAACTCACCCTGTGTAGCTTCCTGCAAACTTTTGGCCTGTCTGCTCATCCTAGCCTTGTTCTCCAGGATCCAGGTCTCCACCACACAGGTGGTGTTTACAGGCTTCATTTCTGGACATTTAAATTTGCATTTCCTTAGACTAAAATATAGTTTGGATGGACCCAACCAACCAGTTGACCTAGTTGCGCTCTCATTATCCTGTCTTCATTATTCTTCTCACCAACTTTACGTCATCCACCAACGTTCGCAGTTGGGAGATCATGTTTGCTGCTTGTCGGTGAAATGCTGAACAACGTGGCCACAGGGAGCACCTTGCTGTGTGGGTAACTCTTCATCAACAGCTCCTGCTGTCGAGCTGTCGGTGAGCAATCCCTAAAACCCCACATTGTAAACTTCATTAGTACTGCCTGGCATCCTTCTGGGTATTTTACATGATGGAGATTAAAAAAGGGACATGTCACTGGTGGAGTGTGTGGCTGCCTTTAGCAAACTCAGTCTGAAGACTTTTCTTAAGGTCTATTTTGAATAAAGCCTTGTTGGTGGGCATCAAGTATGTTGCTGGTTTCTATCAGTTGAATCCCATAATGGTTTTTTTCCTAGAAGTGAGGTCCAGCTCAGCTGGTTGGGGATAGCACCCAGGGCTATGCTGGATCTCCAGAGGTGGCCGTGTTGGCAGTGAGGGGGGTTATGGCACAGGCCAAGTGTGCAGGTGCCTGCTCCCTGGGAACCTGGGCTGAAACTGCGTGGGTATTTACTCAAATCAAATGCACGATGCTTTCCTGGCTTTTGATTTAGTACCTTACTGTGCAACCTTCCTGAATCAATAAGCTTGCAAAACTCAGGGTCATAAAAAAAAGCTCATATGGATTTCTCAAGTACAAAACAACTTCATTTTTCTTTTTCCTTTGGTTTGTGGGTTAAAAAGAAAAGAGTAGATGCAATGTTTTCATTAATAATGAAGGAAATATTAAGGCAAACCTGCTTTAAAATTTGCACGCTGGATTGAAAAATCACTTTCATCAAGGATTTGTCTTTGTCTCTAGCTATCAACATTTGATAATAGAATTACAGAGACTGTACATACCTTTTAGAGTTATATCCTGTTTATATACTTTATAATACACTTATAAGAAGATTACGAACCTAAATTCCCATCAAAAGTCTTGTACTCTTGCAGAAAGGGGTAAATTTTGCTCTGTGCTGTTTAAGCTGGGACAGGTAGTTATTTCCCAGGACTCTGTAGATGAAGCCTTAGCTGGAAGATGGGATCTCATCTGTGGGGCTTTGCACTGTGATGCAGATGTCCGCCAAACATGAGGAGGTCAGGGGAAGGCAGTAAGGGCCAGAGGACTGAGAAAAAATGACCAATGAGAACAAAAATGGGAGGAATTTGGTTTGTTTAAAAAAGACAAGAGTGACATAGTAACAGTTTTCCAATAAAGAAAAGGTGGTTGCAGGGCATAAGGGTGATCATCCTCTGTAACCACCAAGGAGGGAGAAATCGGCTTCACTTCTGGCACAGAGCACGAGGAAGCGCCTGGGCTGGAGGTGTCGTACGGGGCCGGGGCAGCCTGGGGAGCCACGTCATGGGATATTTTTAAGGGAAAGTCAGACGTAAGTTGCTAAACTCAGCTGTCCCTGTGAACCCTTGAGCTGCAGGGCTCTGTCCCTAGTTGACAGTGCAGATATTCAGCATATACTGGATGTAAGATCATTTTTTTCCAGCCAGCGTTACAGCAAACTCTTTCCTTGATGAGCAGCAATGATGCCAGTGCAAGAATTCCTCAGGGTGGTCTGTGTTTAGGGTGTGGTGACGCAGCCCTGTGGAGAAAAGGATACGGTTTGGGGGTTTTTTCCCCTTCTTTATAGCTTGACTGATGATATTTGACAGTTTAGGTGTCAGAATAAATTTTAAGTCGCCGAACTTCTATTTGTGCACTTTTTCTGTGCAGGCCGAGCTATTGGATGGGGCTGGTGGCACTCGCAGGATGTGGTCACAGTCCTACAGAGGGGCGTGGGAGGGCCGAGGTCCAGTGCGATGGGAATCCCTCGTCCTTGTTCAGCCACTCCTTTCCCTTAACTCGGTGTCTGTCCCGCAGGGTGCTTTCCCTGTGAGAAACCTGGGGCTGCAACAAGCTTTTCTGAACCGGTCCTTGGGCCAAAACCTCCGCTGCTGGGGCCAGGGCTGCCGGAGGAAGAGCTGATGATGATGCCCATGGACCCCAAGCCCCAGCACCACCCCGGTGAGTACGCCCCGAGGACACATCTGCCTCAGGGGTACCAACGGAGGATTTCATGTCATCCCGCATCTGAGGGGCAAGAGTGGCAATTGCCCACGATAGCCCCGGCCTGCGGGCAGGGAAAAAGGTGCGGACCCGGCCAGCTCAGCGGTGACTTGGTGGGAAGCAAACTGGTAAGTGGTGTTGGGTGGAAAAGGCACAAGGTATAAGGGATGCTGCAGCAGGGGGATGGGGGTTTGGGGACTGGTGGACATAGAAGGGATCTCCTTGGTGTGTGAAGAGGGAATTTCATATGGGCGTGGATGGCAAGGGTGACGTTTAGCGTGTCCCATAGAGAAATCTCAAATACACCAACATTCCTAGCAGTAACAAATCCACCGCATCTTCAGGAAATTGTTGTAAACATTAATTACTATTCCTAATCAAAGAGGCTTAACTTCTCTTTTGGTTGAGTTTTAGCTTCAAATCCCAGTTACTAGATTTTGTGTTATGCTGTGCTATGCAGCCAGGCTTGTGTTTCCTTTGGGTGAAGGGGGAGCCCTGCTGCTGCCCTCCTCCTCCTCCTGCAGAGAGCGCGCTCCTGGCACCTTTGGTTACGTGTCGGGTTTCTGACCCCTTAACTGCTCCCACTGCTCACCTGAATTTCCCACCATCATTAATGCTCATCGGAGCGCAAGCATTGGGATTTGCCTATGGAGCTGGGTGCTGCTTTGCACGGCACTTGCTGGTGGCACTCGAGACCAGCGTGTCTGACCCCCTTATTTCTTCCGGCACCAGAGACAGTGTTTGTCACATCACAGCCAGCCAGGGCTCTGCAAAACCCCTGAAGGCAGAGATTAGAGAGTTAACGTATCGAGTCAAAAGCTCGCTTGGATATAAATCCCAAGAAGGGGCATTCCTGCTCCTTGCTCTAAGAAACAGATTTGCAAAGGAGCTCAGCGCCCAAAGGGCCCCTTGGTCTCCCTGGCGGTTTTGCAAAACCTCTGTGTACAGAGAGCTCATCTAGTAATTTGACTTTACCAAAAATTCTTGGAGTAGCTCTTAGTGTAAAGCCAGGAAGAAATGGAAATGGCAGTTGCCATTCCCAGGTTCCGGGAGCAATTTAAGCAATGGAGCCGAAGGAGGAAGTGGGTTTTACCAGTGTTTGTGTTATTTCTGCTTTTATTTTGAGCCTGTAGAAATTGGTGTGACTCTGCCAGGAGTGGCTGAAACCACACATGTGGAGCAAGATTATCGGTTCCCAAAACTGGATATACCAAATGTGATCCAACAGAAGGTCATTCCAGGTAAAGAGGTCATGCGCAGCATGAGTCCACCTCAGAAGAACTTATGTCACCCTGTTCGCCCTGGGGAAATCTCAGAGACATTGGCCAGTTGCTCCAGCTCGTTTCCACACTTTGGGATGGAAAATGCCCCTGCTCCTCTCCACGCACGGATGTTTCTTTGGGATGCTGACACCCCCGTGGATCTCATGCTGAGGGACACGTGCCCATGGGCAGGTGGAAGGGATGCAGGAGCCACCTCAGCTCCCCACAGCTGGGTTCCAGGCTAGAAAATGCTCCAAAAGCAAGGAGAGCTGGGTCATGGGCTCTGGATCAACTCCAGCAGCTTGATGAGTCTGTTACCGTTGAGGTAGTTGCTTCTCTTGTAGAAATAAGATGCTTTTCTGAATCATCACATCACTAAACAGTGGTGTACTGAAACATCAGAAACATATAACTCTTGCAAGGAGTTATATTCTGTAACTTCTCCACTTGCAGAAGAGTGTTTCTCTGCAAGTAGGAGAACTACGAGGGGCAATGTCCTGGACTCCCCCCTAAAGGGTACAACACCAGCAGGAAGGATGCTTCGCTCTGTGGCAGACCACCGAGGATACAGGAGTTGCATGTCAAAATATTTCAGACTCAGTGAAAGAGCATCAGTGTTTTAGGTTGCAGAAGACAAATTTCATTCTCTGCAAAGCACCCCTTTGGGAAGAAGGAGTTCTGGCTGCTTTAGGGTTGTACCTCTCCGTTTTACGTAGTTTTAGTCTTTATATAGTTTTTGTATTATAATTGGTGAAAACTGGTTGGATGGGCAGGGCAAAAGAGGAAGAAAGGTTGGATACCCAGTTGTTAGCTCGTGAATGTGTATTGAACTGGGAGAGAACATGGTAGAGCTGTTAAGAAAAGGCTATAAGAAATTGAAATGTTTCTTCCATCTCATGGAGACCAACAAAGATCAGTTCAGCCCATTGAGTTTTCCTTGTGACTCATGAAAAAGACTCTTTCAGAAAAGATACTTCACATGTAAGAGTTAATTTTACAATTTACATGGATGAATTTTTCCTTCCAATACTCTACTAAGGTTTTATATTTATCCCAGCTTCTTCCACTTCCAGACTGGTTGATCTCAAGCAGAAAATGTTCTCTCTTGTCTTCATCCACAGGGTATGCTGGGTTCATTCCCCGCCTCACCTGGATTAATGGCGTGAACTACGTCCAGGCTGTGAAGAAAGCCATGAACGAATTTGACAGACAGCAGGTAGATTATATGCACAAATCATATTTCAGCAATATAATGTTGGTGTTGAATCATCTGCAACACCAAAAGTGGTTTCATTTACAGTAGTAGGATTAGAACTGGGGTTATAAGTACAAGCAAAATAAAATGCTATTAGGTAATATGTTGAAAAAATCACGAGCAATTAAATTCTGTAACTTGTTTCCTTGGGACATTAAGGGAGAATAAATTAGTTCATAAAAGGATTAAGCAAATCTGTTGAGGGTTAGGTCAAAGGTGGCTATTAAAAATGTTGCTCTGGGTACAGAAGCACAGATGCGACTATCTGCGCCTCCCTTATGCAACATATCTATCTTCTCTACCTGGATGGCAGTGCTGGACAGCTTCCTGGGCTTCTTGGATGGATATTTCTCCTTTTTAATTGGTTGTAAGGATTTCTCCTTTACTAACATAATTTGTCTTAAAGGGATCTAGATCTTCTTTCTCCTCCTTTTGGAAAAGATGCAGAAATATCCCTGCTGAAAAACTGTTTTGTCCCCTTGATGTAAGATCTCCCATATAATGCCATGTAATCCTCCCACACGGCAAAATGAGATCCCTCCCACAGCAGTTATCATTTGCATTCAAAACTACACATTTTTTTCCGCTACCAGGATGGAGTGAGATCCCTGGGATGCAGCCGTCTTGCTGGTCCAGCACCGGTGAGAGCTGATCAGTTCATTAAAAGCAGGCTACCACATTTCTAGCCCTTTCTGGTCACCAGGATTCACTGCAGTGCCTTTGTCCCAGAGTCTATGGGTCTGATGTAGAAAAAAGTCCAAGACTGAGGATCCCCAGCTCAGAGAAACTCAGCCGGGAAGGTGTGGCTCAGCGGGGAGGGCAGCAGGGCTGACAGTGCTCACGGCAGCCTCATGCTTCGGCTGAAATGTATTTCCCTGTGCTGGCTTCCTTATCCTTTTCTTCTGCTGTTAATAGGAACTGAAATGAAGCAAACAGAACAAAAAAACAGGCATTATCAAAACTAAATGTGCTGTTTGCAAAGCCTTTCTGCCCCTGATTTCTTAAGAAACGCCTGCCGTGCAGTATATTGGCGAGGGAGGTGTTTCTGCGCCGCAGGATTCAGCAGAGGTTAGCTGCAGCATATCAGGCACTGAAGGAATATAAGCACGCTGGGAAAAAAAAAAAAAAAAAATCACACCACATTTCTGTCTAAGATGCCTTCTGACTTCAAGCCACTAATCTTCTGCCCTAAATCTCTGTTGCCCTAGGTTACATCCTGGGATGTGCCATGGATCATTGCTTACTGTCTGCATCAGGCAAATAATGCAATCCTCTCGCTTCAGTGCTGCACTTGAGCAATTGCAGCAGTCGCTCCCTCACCACTCACAAAAGGGTTCAGTGGCCCCGCGGTTTGCTCGGCTCTGTGAATCCCATCCCTTCTCCAGAGAGGAGGGCAGCGCAGCTTTAGTGACACCTTTGGGGGTTTTGCTGCTGCAGAGACGTGGAGAGCTGCAATATCCATCCTCCAGCACAGCCCCTTGCCTGGGTCTGGCCGCGGGGGCAGGGACACATCCAGGAGATGATTTACACTCTCCCTTCAGTTAACACCCCCCTAAGTTTCCCCGTTCCCCCAAGCCTGGGCACTATGGGCTAATCACCATCCATGGGACTCATGGAAAAACAAAACCAGTTGAAGGGGTCAAACCAAAACACAGATGTGCAGAGTCATAGCACAGGAGCAGACACGGCACGTATCCAACTCCAGCAGGTAGTGCTGGCTCACGGTGTATCCAATGTAGGAGCACAAGGCATTTGGGACTTGCAGATGATGCCCAGAGGTGATGAACACAGTCCAGTCTGTAGAGATCCTGACGACTACGCTTAGGCCAGGAGCTGCTCCATGCACCTGGGTACGAGGTAGCAGAGGCAGAGCTGTCAAGGGCTGCTGCCAACATCTGTCAGGAGAAAAACTACACGCTGGAAAAAGGGGAAGATGCAACGTAGCTCCTAGTTAGAAGAAAACAGAACTGGAAAGAGAATTGCTGTACATTGGCTTAAAATATTTTCTCTGATAGGAGTCAAAGCACACGGGTAACAATAGTATGGTTTAAAATGAACTGTGCTGTGGTGGTGTTTTATTTTTGTCTGTTTGTTTTACAGTTTATGGAGAGAAACCCAGCTTGCAGCTTTGGCAAGAGATTTCCCCAAACATACTGGCCTAACAACAGAATTTACACCAGTGCAGGACTGATACCTTACTACACAGGCTTCGTACCAGGTAAGTTTATCAGCCGAATGAAAGTCACTAATTACTGTCATTAAGTAGTGCTGTTATTAGCTGTAGTGTTGTAGAAGTGAACAATTACTGAAATGTTCCACATGGGTAGTAGATTTTTTTTCGGTCTGTGCCAAGGTGTAGGAGAGCCCATCGCCTTGCGGCCAGCCCGGACTTGTGCAGAAGGCTCCTCTGGTTTCCAGCCCCCTGCTACAGCAGAGGAGGCTCAGTAACAGCCCCTTTGTTACACAGGTGTGTTAGATTTCTTCATGGGGACAGTGATTCTGTTCTAAAAAGCTTAAAGTCTAATAAAAAGCAAAAGGTAGATGATACAAAGGAGTTGAGAAAGCACAAAAAAAGCAGTGAAATGGTATTAGCCATCAGGACAGGTAGTGGCTACCCCGGACTGTCTGCCCAATCCTAGTCAGCTATTGGTACTGACTAAAACAAGAGGTCTGAAGTAATTTTGTGTATGTTAAGCAGAAGATTAGCCCATGCACCTGAAAGCATTATGGTATCAGGCTAAAATTTCAACAAATCAGCAACTAATATTGCTATCTTTTGCCACAGCGAAGTCAAGAGCCCACAGCTCAGTAATGTGGGATAGGAAATCCTGGAGATAAGCTAGAAAGAACCAAACTTACTGCTTATACTTAATGCAATGCAGAGGAGCAAAATGGTTAAAGACACAAGAGGTGGTAGAAATTAAAGCACAGAGGGAAAACAACTATCCTGGCAGGGTTGGATCATAGCTGCTATCAAGGTTTTGCCCAGAGAGGATGTTGAGGTGCTGAACGGGGCTCTAGCAAGACTTGTATGAGGGGCTTGGGAAAGCCGTGCAGAAAAGGCAAACTTCAACACAGGGCCTGTCTGCAGGAGCTGGCGGGACGGTCTAAGGGAAGGGCTGGAAGTGTCTTACACCCCGAAGGAGAAAGGCGAGGCTGGACAGGCCTTCTGATCGAAGGTGGAGAGAAGTATGTTCGTTTTGGCCTCTGTCACCACACTGCTCCGAGGAGGAGGTGCCGAGCGCAGCAGCCAGGCCCCGGCACCCGAGGGCTGCGGTCGCACGCTGCAAAGCTGCAGCCTGCAAGCTAAAGCCCCTGGGGAAAAGCTGTTACAGACCTAAGGGTAAACCGGCCTCCGGTGGCACTACTCACGCATGTGCTTTGTCCTCTCCACAAGCTGCAGCAAGCAGGGGGGCAGCCTGAGCTCTTCAGGGGAGGGTGACGCACGGAGGGGGTAACGGAGGGTGCTGGGGGGACACCGCTGCCCTGCCCCCGGTGACTGGCCAGCCAGGGAACACACCAGCTTCAGTGTAATGAAAAGGAGGAAGAAAAAACTCACCCTAAAAATCAAGGACAAAAATCAACTGCTTCAAGTGTTGCTTTAAAAATCTGTTGCCATCTTTTCACCTACAGTATTCTCCTGGGTAGGTTTGGAACAGCCGCCGGTTTCTGTAGACAGACAGATTTCCACTGCCCTGGAGCCCCCCCAGTCAGAGCAATTTTAACTACTCCAACCAGTTCAACTCTGGAAGGAGAAAAATTATTTTTAAGACAGAAACTTAGCACAAAATGAGTTACAATTGAGAACACTGAACAGAATTGCTTCAGCAGGAAAGCAGTCGGCTATCTCCTGTCCAGCTACTGTGTGACAGGTTTGTCACTTTAGGTAACACTGAACTTACTGTTTCCACAGTAAAAATTTGCTTTGCCAATATAGGGTTTTCATGAAACAAACCAGTGTCATTTGCTATCAGGTGTTCAGCTCTCTTCAGAAGCAGAGGCTGCAGTAACACCCGATTTAGTTTTAAAACCTACACATACCGATTCTTAAAAGAAGTGACTCCAGCCAAGCTGCACACCCAGGAGCTCTTCAGCAGCGTTCGCCCTCAGCAGCAGGGGCAGCACAGCTTGTCACAGCTGCCCCCAGCGCTCCGGGGAGCAGCCAGGGCTACCCCCAGGGGCCACAGGACGGGCCAGAACACCCACCTGGACCAGGAAGGCAACTTGCCTGCCCTATTTTGTTGCCCAGGCAGCTGGGGTGAGCTATAGCTTACAGACACCTACAGTTGAACCTATACGGTCCAGAGCCGCCCGACTTCTGCTGCCAAGCCTGTAACAGGAGCCCGCACACAGGTACCTAAATTTAGCCACAGCTTGGAGCTGGATTCCATCCCCTGTGTGAAGCGCAGCCCCCTCCACCAGTACTTGTTATAAAGGACTGCCACCACAGCCAGTGACACAGCCAACAGGCATCCACCTTGTTGGCCAGCAGGGAGAGAAGTGTGGTTGCCATGGGCAAGGCGGCAAGGCTCAAACCACGTCCATTTTTCTTTTCCAGACCTCCGCCACACCTACGCGCTTACTTTTGGAAACAGCACCCGAAAAGCTTACCAAAAGGAACAAAGGAGACAAGCCTGTGCACTGTGAAAAATGCTTTAATGGTGCCTGTACAGCATTTGAAGTGACTTTGAGACAGGAAGAGGAACACAACACAGACAGAGAAATTTTGAATGAAAGAGTTCATACAGCTTTAAACAAAATTTACAGGTGTTCATCCACATAGCTTTTACTCTGCCTCTTCCTCAGCCTCCTCCTCAAACTCCCCCTCCTCCTCAGCTGTAGCATCCTGGTACTGCTGATACTCAGACACCAGGTCGTTCATGTTGCTCTCAGCCTCTGTGAACTCCATCTCGTCCATGCCCTCACCAGTGTACCAGTGCAGGAAAGCCTTTCGGCGGAACATGGCAGTGAACTGCTCAGAAATGCGTTTGAACAGCTCCTGGATGGCTGTGCTGTTACCAATGAAGGTGGCCGACATTTTCAGGCCACGAGGTGGAATGTCACAGACTGCTGTTTTAACATTATTAGGAATCCATTCAACAAAATAGCTGCTGTTTTTGTTCTGAACGTTCAGCATTTGCTCATCAACCTCTTTCATTGACATACGGCCTCTAAAAACAGCAGCTACGGTCAGATAGCGGCCGTGACGTGGGTCACACGCAGCCATCATGTTCTTTGCATCAAACATCTGCTGTGTTAGCTCTGGCACAGTTAACGCACGATACTGCTGGCTCCCACGGCTCGTGAGTGGGGCAAAACCAGGCATGAAAAAGTGCAAACGGGGAAAGGGAACCATGTTCACCGCCAGCTTGCGCAGGTCAGCATTAAGCTGGCCTGGGAATCGCAGGCAGGTGGTAACACCGCTCATGGTTGCCGACACTAAATGGTTCAGATCACCGTATGTCGGAGTAGTTAACTTCAGTGTTCTGAAGCATATGTCATAGAGGGCTTCGTTATCAATACAGTATGTTTCATCTGTGTTCTCCACGAGCTGGTGAACCGAGAGTGTGGCATTGTAGGGCTCTACTACAGTATCTGATACTTTAGGGGAGGGCACAACACTGAAAGTATTCATAATTCGGTCTGGGTACTCTTCACGAATTTTGCTGATGAGGAGGGTACCCATACCAGAGCCTGTGCCACCACCAAGAGAGTGAGTAAGCTGAAAGCCCTGGAGACAATCACAGCTTTCTGCCTCCTTTCTTACAACATCTAACACGGAATCAACTAATTCAGCACCTTCCGTATAATGGCCCTTTGCCCAGTTGTTTCCTGCTCCGCTCTGACCTGGAAGAGAGCCATTTTCGTGTTAGATTACGGTCACTGCTTCCTGCTTATTGCTTGCAAGCAAAGCTTAGGGGCATCAGGCTACCGAGAAGCAGACAAGCTTTCATTTTATCGAGCACAGAGCTGTGGTTTCACACAAGCACCTCTGAAATGGCTCAGCAGATACAGGGAAAGCATTCGGTATCAGTGACACAGCAGCCATTTAATGTTCTGATAGTATGGAGGAGGTAACGAGAATCGGAAGAGCAACGACCTCTTGTGCCTCCTCAGACCCGCTCTCCCAGCAGCTGCCATCACGCACCACCCGCAGATCCCCGGTATGCGTTTCGTGCCCGTCCCGAAGCGCAGGATTAAGCCCCCTCCCGGGGCCGCGCTCGCCCCCGAGCATGTGCGGCGCGGCAGCCCGCAGTGCAGCGTCCCTGCCCTGCCCACCCCGCCCCGAGCCGGCTACACGGCACGTCCCTCCCCCGCTCCCGGCGCACTCACCGAACACGAAGTTGTCTGGCCTGAATATCTGGCCGAAGGGCCCGGAGCGCACAGAGTCCATGGTGCCGGGCTCCAGGTCCACCAGGACGGCGCGGGGCACGTACTTGCCACCTGCAAGACAGGGAGAAGCCGTGACTGCGGCGCCGGGGGCGGCCCGGGAAGGCGGCGGGCGGCGCGCCGGGCCCTACCTGTGGCCTCGTTGTAGTAGACGTTAATACGCTCCAGCTGCAGGTCGCTGTCTCCGTGATAGGTACCGGTTGGGTCGATGCCATGTTCGTCGCTGATCACCTCCCAGAACTGCCGGAGAAAATCGCGTCAGGGGGCGGCTGGGCCGGGCGTGCCCCCCCTTCTCCCCACCCCGCCGCCCCCTGCCCACCGCCCACACCTTGGCCCCGATCTGGTTTCCGCACTGCCCGGCCTGCAGGTGCACGATCTCCCTCATGATGGCGGCGGATCAGCTCACTCCCACCCAACCCCGCTCTTCCACCAACCGACTCTGGCTGCGTGAGGCACCCGCCAAGCCTTATATAGCAGCGGAATGCGCGCGCAGCCTTCTTTTCCCCTCCCAGGCAGCCATCCACAGCAGCTTTTGGCTACTCATAACGAGGCTCTACAAATGAGAAAATCTGGTTGGCCGGAGCACTGTCATTCAAATCCGTGGCTCCTATTTGCTCCGCCCGGCTGTCTGTTGGTTTTACTGTTAGGCAACCGGGGCCGACGAGCGCCCGCCTTACTCGCTCAGAACACTCCCGATTGGCTTAATTGAATGATTGATGTCGAGCACGATTGGCTGCCGGTCTCAGGGATGAGCTAACGTCATTTGATTGGATGAAAACAAAGTGTCCTAGTAACCGTCGCAATGACTCCGCAGCCGGCCCTGGGCGGTGGCTCTGCACAGCCGCCTATTCCCGAAGCCGTGTGCGCACTTTGCGCAGCGTAGGCGGCGGCTCCTCCTTACTGCGGGAGAGGGGGAGGGCGGTTTCTGGGGAAACCTGGCGGGGCCGCTTCCCCCGCGGGTCCCCAGCGCCCCCCTGCCTCTCGCCCCCGCTCCTCCGGGCGGGCGTCCCTCGCCCGGCCCCGCCGCCATCCCCCGTTCCCGCCGCCTCCGCCGGCCCCAGAGCGCTGCGGTGGGGGCTGGCAGGGAGCCCGTCTGCGCAGGCGCGGGCTGCGGCGCGTTTCTAGCACTTTCTGGCGCGCAGCCGCCCCCGGCAGCGGGGGGCCGGGCGGCCGTTGTCATGGCAACCGCGGCGGACCGGGGGGAGGCCGCGGCCCGGCCTGCGGCGGCAGCCGCGGGGGACGGGCGGCCCCCGGAGCCTGCGGGGGCGCGAGGGGTCCTTTTCTCCCTCTCCTAGCAGGTCAAACTGTTCCCATCCACCATCTAACGTTGTTAGCACATTCTTGCAGAGACAGTTCGTATATTGGTCACCAGTTCGTACATTGATCACAGCTTCTACTGAGCATACTTTGTTGTTTTAGCAGAGTATTTTTATGATTATACGTATTCATTAGGATGCCAGCAAGGTCTACAAGTCCTAGCATCTCTTCCTGTTTCATAAGGTAGCTAAAACTTGAAAGAGGCTTCTAATGGGTTCTCCAAACCTAGCTGGTCTCAAACTGTTGCCTTGATGTGGGAGTGGACTGAGGCAAAAGCAGCAGGTGACCTCAATTCTTTCTACACAAACAGCACATCAGGCCAGTGATCTGTCATCCAGGCATTCATATAAGGCAGAGGTACATTATGGTTTGTATATATATCGTGACAATAATCCAACTGCTGCTGTGACTAGTTCAGGTGAGGAGGTGACGGGGGGAGGATCAACACTGTGAAGACTTTTGCTGGAGATCAAATAGCCTGTAGGAGTTGGCTTAATAAAAAGGTTATGGTGATTGGTATTTCTGGCATGTAAACAACATTCCCTCAGAGATGCTGGAAGGAGCCCAGGAGCACCAGGAACAGTCCCAGAGACCCTGAGAGGAACCCCAGAGCATCAGGAGTGACCTGAGAAGATCCTGGGCAGCTCCGTGAGGCCCTGGGCAAGGCATTTATCAGCCCCAGAGGTGCCCAGACACAACTAGGAAGACACACATACAGCTCATCCTCCACATTTGAAGCCAGAATGCAGGAGGTATATGCAGCTAGCTTTGAGATAGCTGAGTAATGCAAAGGCTTTAGGGTCCAGATTTATCCCACCTAATTATAGGCATTGATTTGAATAGCTAACTCTGGGCTGCATTCACACTAGAGTCAGTGGAAAGGGATGGCTCGGCCCACTCCAGCTCTGAATAGCCCTCTGACGACACCTTTCTGTTCTCTGTAAAGGTTTGTGAAGTGACCCAATCCAAAATCTCAGTATCATTTAAGTATCAAAGGGAGCTGGGATGAATCCAAATTAAACTTGCTCAAGATTTCATACAAGGCCATAATAATCAGTAAAAACAGCTTTTCTTACAGGATGTGATGTCATCTCTTTAAAGTAACATGAAAAATGAATACTGTCTTCTTTCTGATTTAAAAGAGACAATGTAGAATGTCTTGCCTGTGTTCTGCTGTCTAAGAAAGTACACTCAACATAAATTCTCATCAAGGCACACTCAGAACAGCATTAGCAAGCTTCTGCACTTATAAGCCTTAGAAAACCATCCCTAAAATGGAGCTGCAGGGCTAGCAGGAGGTTTGCTGGTACAAGTTCTGGTGTATTTTTGCAGATACAGGTTTGTTTTTTGTGTTTTTGCAGATAAAGGTTGGTTTTCTTTCAGCCAGGACCAGAAAGCGAAGGACGGCACATCAGTGAAAAAGATCTATTTTCTTACTTGTTGGAAATCATGAGCCTTTGTAGCCGATGCTTCTCACAGCTTGTGCTTCAGCCCTCACTGCATTTAACATTTGGGAAGCTGTTCTGGTATGTGTTGAGTGAGAAATGGTAGCCACCCCCAGTGTTCCCAGTGGCAGCAAAAAAGTGGAAATACTCTGCTCAGTTAAGACTTCTGATCTCTATCTCCAAAACGCTAGCAGGATCGCACCCAGCAGAGCAGAGGATAGTACCTTGTGAGGTAGCTAAAACTTTGTTCCTGTGTTTGAGCTTCCAGAGGTTTTCCTGGGAGATTCAGCCACCTAAAGATCTATGGGTTAGGAGGCATTTCACATTATTCGTGCAACATTCATTTTTGCTAATTCTCTCCCAGTCAGCTAGTACTTCTGTTCTTAGCTACATGCAGATCCACAGGAAATGACAATTCTATTTTAAATATTTTTGCATTTTTTAAATTAAAGTAAAATGCCAGTACTTCTAAGCTCTCTGTGAGGAGGAACACAGCCAAGCTGCCAGGAATCTCCATGGAGAGCTGCTGGAGCTGCTGACTATCATAGCCCTGCCACTTCTAACACTGTGTCAGCCCGGCAACC